TTTTAATTCATTGGTTTCTTGTGTTGTTTTAATTCATTGGTTTCTTGTGTTGTTTTAATTCATTGGTTTCTTGTGTTGTTTTAATTCATTGGTTTCTTGTGTTGTTTTAATTCATTGGTTTGTTGTGTTGTTTTAATTCATTGGTTTGTTGTGTTGTTTTAATTCATTGGTTTCTTGTGTTGTTTTAATTCATTGGTTTGTTGTGTTGTTTTAATTCATTGGTTTCTTGTGTTGTTTTAATTCATTGGTTTCTTGTGTTGTTTTAATTCATTGGTTTCTTGTGTTGTTTTAATTCATTGGTTTGTTGTGTTGTTTTAATTCATTGGTTTGTTGTGTTGTTTTAATTCATTGGTTTGTTGTGTTGTTTTAATTCATTGGTTTGTTGTGTTGTTTTAATTCATTGGTTTCTTGTGTTGTTTTAATTCATTGGTTTCTTGTGTTGTTTTAATTCATTGGTTTCTTGTGTTGTTTTAATTCATTGGTTTGTTGTGTTGTTTTAATTCATTGGTTTGTTGTGTTGTTTTAATTCATTGGTTTGTTATGTTGTTTCAATTCATTGGTTTGTTGTGTTGTTTTAATTCATTGGTTTCTTGTGTTGTTTTAATTCATTGGTTTCTTGTGTTGTTTTAATTCATTGGTTTGTTGTGTTGTTTTAATTCATTGGTTTGTTGTGTTGTTTTAATTCATTGGTTTGTTGTGTTGTTTTAATTCATTGGTTTGTTGTGTTGTTTTAATTCATTGGTTTGTTGTGTTGTTTTAATTCATTAGTTTGTTGTGTTGTTTTAATTCATTGGTTTGTTGTGTTGTTTTAATTCATTGGTTTGTTGTGTTGTTTTAATTCATTGGTTTGTTGTGTTGTTTTAATTCATTGGTTTGTTGTGTTGTTTTAATTCATTGGTTTGTTGTGTTGTTTTAATTCATTGGTTTGTTGTGTTGTTTTAATTCATTGGTTTGTTGTGTTGTTCTTTTAATAGTATTGTAGCCAGATTTACTATATCAATAGATCTATGTATGCCTGTAAGATTTACTATATCAATAGATCTATGTATGACTGTAAGTGTAAGATGTAAGATTTACTATATCAATAGATCTATGTATGCCTGTAAGATGTAAGATTTACTATATCAATAGATCTATGTATGCCTGTAAGATGTAAGATTTACTATATCAATAGATCTATGTATGCCTGTAAGATGTAAGATTTACTATATCAATAGATCTATGTATGACTGTAAGTGTAAGATGTAAGATTTACTATATCAATAGATCTATGTATGACTAAGTGTAAGATGTAAGATTTACTATATCAATAGATCTATGTATGCCTGTAAGTGTAAGATGTAAGATTTACTATATCAATAGATCTATGTATGACTGTAAGTGTAAGATTTACTATATCAATAGATCTATGTATGCCTGTAAGATGTAAGATTTACTATATCAATAGATCTATGTATGCCTGTAAGATGTAAGATTTACTATATCAATAGATCTATGTATGACTGTAAGATGTAAGATTTACTATATCAATAGATCTATATATGCCTGTAAGATGTAAGATTTACTATATCAATAGATCTATGTATGCCTGTAAGATGTAAGATTTACTATATCAATAGATCTATGTATGACTGTAAGTGTAAGATGTAAGATTTACTATATCAATAGATCTATGTACGCCTGTAAGATGTAAGATTTACTATATCAATAGATCTATGTACGCCTGTAAGATGTAAGATTTACTATATCAATAGATCTATGTACGCCTGTAAGATGTAAGATTTACTATATCAATAGATCTATGTATGCCTGTAAGATGTAAGATTTACTATATCAATAGATCTATGTATGACTGTAAGATTTACTATATCAATAGATCTATGTATGACTGTAAGATGTAAGATTTACTATATCAATAGATCTATATATGCCTGTAAGATGTAAGATTTACTATATCAATAGATCTATGTATGACTGTAAGTGTAAGATGTAAGATTTACTATATCAATAGATCTATGTACGCCTGTAAGATGTAAGATTTACTATATCAATAGATCTATGTACGCCTGTAAGATGTAAGATTTACTATATCAATAGATCTATGTACGCCTGTAAGATGTAAGATTTACTATATCAATAGATCTATGTATGACTGTAAGTGTAAGATGTAAGATTTACTATATCAATAGATCTATGTATGACTGTAAGTGTAAGATGTAAGATTTACTATATCAATAGATCTATGTATGCCTGTAAGATGTAAGATTTACTATATCAATAGATCTATGTATGACTGTAAGTGTAAGATGTAAGATTTACTATATCAATAGATCTATGTATGCCTGTAAGATGTAAGATTTACTATATCAATAGATCTATGTATGACTGTAAGTGTAAGATGTAAGATTTACTATAACAATAGATCTATGTATGACTGTAAGATGTAAGTTGGTTTAACCAGAACAATTTTCCTGCTTGGTTAGTGTAAAAATAAGATGTGGTGGTGTGTTGAGGTCATCTTGTGGTGGTGTGTTGAGGTCATCTTGTGGTGGTGTGTTGAGGTCATCTTGTGGTGGTGTGTTGAGGTCATCTTGTGGTGGTGTGTTGAGGTCATCTTGTGGTGGTGTGTTGAGGTCATCTTGTGGTGGTGTGTTGAGGTCATCTTGTGGTGGTGTGTTGAGGTCCACTTGTGGTGGTGTGTTGAGGTCATCTTGTGGTGGTGTGTTCGAGTTTTTTCAATATACTTTCCCAGTGTCTATGGTGAGACCGTGATATAAATTAATAGAGCTTAATTAATAGCCATATCTTAATTACCAGCCAGAGCTTAATTGACCAAGCTGATACTGCTGAATGTACGATTAGGGTTGAATCATTAGCGAGAGAAGTGCTCTTCTTTTATCTAGAGGTCTTTCATGTGGGTCATTTTAGACGGAGATGATAAGTCGGGACCGTCTAGTTACAAACAGTGCCCGTGACACGGGAGGGGGGGGGGGTCTGTGAGGTAGAGCGCACGATTGCTGACCAAAGTCTCCCTAACTAGGGAGGGGGGGGGGGGCAGTGAGGTAGAGCGCACGTGTGCTGACCAAAGTCTCCCTAACTAGGGAGGGCAGTGAGGTAGAGCGCACGATTGCTGACCAAAGTCTCCCTAACTAGGGAGGGGGGGGGGGCAGTGAGGTAGAGCGTACGATTGCTGACCAAAGTCTCCCTAACTAGGGAGGGCAGTGAGGTAGAGCGCACGATTGCTGACCAAAGTCTCCCTAACTAGGGAGGGGGGGGGGGCAGTGAGGTAGAGCGCACGATTGCTGACCAAAGTATCCCTAACTAGGGAGGGCAGTGAGGTAGAGCACACGATTGCTGACCAAAGTCTCCCTAACTAGGGAGGGGGGGGGGCAGTGAGGTAGAGCGCACGATTGCTGACCAAAGTCTCCCTAACTAGGGAGGGGGGGGGGGGGGCAGCGAGGTAGAGCGCACGATTGCTGACCAAAGTATCCCTAACTAGGGAGGGGGGGGCAGTGAGGTAGAGCGCACGATTGCTGACCAAAGTCTTCCTAACTAGGGAGGGGGGGGGGGGGCAGCGAGGTAGAGCGCACGATTGCTGACCAAAGTATCCCTAACTAGGGAGGGGGGGGGGCAGTGAGGTAGAGCGCACGATTGCTGACCAAAGTCTTCCTAACTAGGGAGGGGGGGGGGGGGCAGCGAGGTAGAGCGCACGATTGCTGACCAAAGTATCCCTAACTAGGGAGGGCAGTGAGGTAGAGCGCACGATTGCTGACCAAAGTCTCCCTAACTAGGGAGGGGGGGGGGGCAGTGAGGTAGAGCGCACGATTGCTGACCAAAGTCTCCCTAACTAGGGAGGGGGGGGCAGTGAGGTAGAGCGCACGATTGCTGACCAAAGTCTCCCTAACTAGGGAACAGATCCAGTAATAAGCGCAGGCTGACCAAAGTCTCCCTAACTAGGGAACACATCCAGCGATAAGCGCAGGCTGAAATTTGAGTCAACGAACTAGAGCGGGCTGTATGGTGTCTTGTGTGTGACACGATGGTCCCAGTGGGGCCAGTCTCGAATGTTCTAAAACAGTCGTGTGTGGTTTGATTCAAATAAATGTACTTGCTTACATTGAGTGGCTTTTGTCAAATTTCATTCAAGAATTTAAGAAGTTTCAGTACAACAATTTTTTTTTTAAATTATGAAATAAACAAGGCGTAACAAGGTATAGTTGTAGAGTTTTAATAAAGAATAAAATTGCGGGATGATATGATTCAATAGACTAAATAGCCTGACGGACGAATATTATCAAATTCTCCACTCTGCAACTTTTATTCATTAATTCTTAACATATTACTTTATTATGTAGGCCTATAATATTTAAAAAAAAAAAACTTTAAAATATTTAAGGCCGCTACGAAGACAAAAGTTTACAAAAAACACGTTTTTTTTTAAAATCTACGTTAAAATAAAGATCGGGGATCTTAGTTTCAGGCATATCTACTTGGATCTCATCTACTGCCCCACCCTGTTTATCTCATCTACTCAGTGGCGTAGCAAGGTCGGGTGTCACCCGGTGCGGCACTTAATGGTGTCACCCCCCCAGAGGCGTTGCGACCCTTCCCGGGGACAAACTTCCAAGTTTTCGATTTGCACCCCCCCCTCAAGCTTTCGATTTGCACCCCCCCCTCAAGTTTTCGATTTGCACCCCCCTCAAACTTTCGATTTGCACCCCCCCCCCTCAAGTTTTTCTCTATATATTTTGCTATTTTTTGCCTTGGTGTCACCCCCTAAATGGTGTCACCCGGTGCGGTCCGCACCCCCAGCCCCCCCCCCCTCGCTACGCCCCTGCATCTACTGCCCCACCCTGTTTATCAAACTTGAAGGGAGCCATTGGATATGATTATGAGGAAATCAACTTCACTGAAACCACTGAAAGACTGCTCATGATTCTATGACGTCATTCCGAACATTTTATTTTACGGCAAATTTTTCTTCGCTGTTTTTGGCAATCAATATGGCGGCGGGAGATCTGTTCAACATAGGCCTCAACAAAAGTGAGTGACAATCATACCAGTGACCAACACAACCGTGTATTGTGCTACTATTTTGTGTAACTATATCGTGTGCCATCTGTGTTGCAGTGCTACTGACGGCGCACCTCGCGAGTGTCGTCCTTCTAGTGGCCAGTGACGTCATGAAGACCAACATCTACCTACCCACACAGCCCCCGTTGGAGCAAGTGAACAAAACTTGTCTCGGTGACGATTTGGTGAGGTGACGATTTGGTGAGGTGACAGTTTGGTGAGGGGATTTGGTGAGGAGGCAGTTTGGTCAGGTGACAATGTGGTGAGGGGGCAATTTAGTTCGGTGACAATTTGGTGAGGGGGCAATTTAGTTCGGTGACAATTTGGTGAGGGGGCAATTTAGTTCGGTGACAATTTGGTGCAGTGGCGTGCAGACCTATGTAGATGCCCGGGGCAAAATCAAGCGGAAGATGCCCCCATAAATACTTATATATATATATATATATATATATATATATATATATATATATATATATATATATATATATATATATATATATATATATATATCATTTATTTAAAAAAATGTACTTATCTTAATTGAGATGAAAACGTTGACTACAGCCAGCTAAATCCAAATGGAATGAATGGTTGGAACTTGGGAGAAGGGGGGGGGGGGGAGACAATTGCGGGACGGGTCGTGGTGGGGAGGGCTGTGATGCACTACAAAAGAGTCTCATCCGGTATTGTATTACCACCCGGGACCGCAGGGACAAAAACGCTGTCCGTGTCTGCAATTAGGGCGTCAGATACGCCTTTATTAATGGGATGTTTCTCTCTTGGCCTGTTTAGGAATTCCTATAGTGTAACTAATACAGGTGAGAGTGTGCATTGAACTAGAGATGTTTCAGATTTTTCTCTCTAAACCACTTGGTCAAAACGTCAACTCTTTAAAGAGATGGGTGATGCTAGCTAGATACTCTCAAACTATCTTAACCTTGAATATAACAGAAGTGTACCTTGGTTGGCTAAGGGGTCATCCATTTATGACGTCCACACATTTTTGGGATTTTGGACCCCCCCCCCCTCTTCCCTGTCCACAAACGTCCACTTTTGACGGACCCCCCCCCCCCCCCCCCATCCCGTGGACGTCCACACTGACTATAAGTTTTTGCATAATCTTCTTCCACTATTACTCAAGCTACTGCATTAAGTGTGTATATACTCTGAGTGTATATAGTATTACAAATACTGGTACAAATGTGTTTTATTGTCCTTCGTGTCCCACACCTGAACAGGGACAGCGTGCTAACCCCCCCCCCCCCTCCACCCCTCTCCCGTCTCACAACTGAACTGGGATGACCCCGCCTACCTAGAGAAGTGGTCGCCTAGTATTTGACCTGGGATGCAAATGTGGGGAAACTTGTAATTGGATATCTTATTGTATTCCAGGTTAAGCCAGGGCATAGACCCAAGCTGGGTGGTTAAAGGGCCAGAGAGATAGGATAGTTGAACTTTAGCTTCGCTAGGAAATATTTTTCTTTCACACTACCAAAAATAATGTTGGATTTAATGTGTGGACGTCCACATTGGGCCAACCCCCCTCCCCCTGTCCACACGCGTCCACAAAAGTCAATTTTTTTCGGACCCCCCCCCCCCCCCCCCCCCCCCGTGTGGACGTCATAAATGGATGACCCCTAAAGCTGCCAGCTTAAAAAAACATTTCTACATCGGACTGTGTTTAAAAATCCACTATGCTATGTCAGACCCTCCCTAGGCTTGGACGCGTTTTCACAAATTTAACACCCAAGTACGTCTGTCTAGTTCAGGTGGGGGATAATCCACTAACGGCTTCCATAGCCTAAAAACCCACACCGCATCCCCACATTTCATTACATCATTATGGGCTCAATAACTCTATAGATAGCTCTACTATTAACTGAAATAAAACTGGCTCTGCATGTGCTCCCAATTACTTTAAAGAAAGCTCTACTCAGAGTTAAAAACTTTAACTTTAACACTACTTAAAGCATGCTCCTCCTATTTGTAAAAATCAATATGGGCGCAATTATTCTGAATGATATCATTACAATGTATCGAAAACAATATGTTGATTCGTATTCTTAAGATTGACACTAATGTGTATCAAAAACATTATATGGGCATTCTTATTCTTAAGTATGCTTATATAATGCATGAAAAAAAAGTATATACTAATGGCTGCCAGTGGCTTAGCTACCGTAAAGCTAGAGTAAGCAAGGCATAGGGGCCCAAGGCAAATAGGGGCCATTTTCCTTCTTTTAAAAAGTTAAAACGGTAATCTATCGTTTTAGCGTAATCAATTCGGTCGTCACTAGTAATGTAGGGATAAGGTAACTAATAATACTAATAAATATGGCTTAAATATGAATATATTTTAGTATATTCTACTAAAATACTAAAGATAATTGAATATTAAACCACATTTAAGGGTTAAATCAATAAAAATGTCTTGAAATTAAGGTTTAACAACGATGTTCCAGATACTAAATTTGCTATTAAAAACAGCGGCCATCTTAAGAAAATATTATTTTGAGTCATTTCCCTTTAATTTCTATTTGTATGGAAATGTATTGATGTTTGCTATTAAATGCGTTTGTCTTGTGTTTAAATACAAAGCATGCGTTTTTTATTTTTTTATTCTGACCTTTAAACAATTTAATTGACTGACAATAAACATCAGTTCTAGAATTATTATTATGAGATGCAATTTTATACATTAAGAAACTCCCCATTTTTATAGAGCTACCACTACATATCTAATGTTTATTTAACTATTAGTTTGAGTTAATTGTTATTGCTTGTGTTATTGTTTGTTTGCTATTTTCATTTAATATTTTCATGCTTTTTTCCTTTAATTAGTGATTTAATCCTTAATGACGTCACGTTTTTTGACCTCTCTTCACCTTAACCCCCCCCCCCCCCCCCCCCATTTTCGCCGCCACGAAATAGTCGTAATGTCGAACATTACCTTTTTGCACTGCCTGTTAAGTCAAGCCTTAATTCAAACGAAAAAGATTTTTTTCGGCCTTTTTGTATTAGGCAAAATACATAACGTTTCACGTTTCTTACCCCTCCCCTTTCCCGCGTAAAACGTTGTCTCAAAATCAGTTACTCCACCCCTTAAGGGCGTGATGTCATTAATGGAAGATGTCAAGTCCTAACCTCCAATACACATTTTGAACAACCTTTGTTGTCAAAATGTTGATACCAAATACCCAAAATGAGTTATATGGGGTTGTCCATAAACGATGTCACATCTATGCTATTCTAATCTGACGTCAATTTACGCAGGACTGCAATTTATGACCTATAATGAAGGGGTGATCGGGGGGGAGGATGAGTGACGTAAATTACGGAAGGCTTCTATAAAGCTGTGCTCAATGAAAATGAGTAACATAAAGCATTCGTTTTCATGCATACCTTTGCTCATAACGAATGATCATAACTATTGCAAGCCTGTTGTCCTAAGCGGTGTTAAACAACCTCAGCACACCATCCCCGCCATAGAGGCGTGTCACTAAATGCCTACCGACGAAAATAGGCCGCACTACATTGACTCCAAATGTAATAACTTCTGACAATAAGGCTCAAACCAACTAGCTCCTGGCAACGATATTCAACAAGAATCCAAGACAATTATTGACTTGCAGGTAAAATTGGACAAAACAGCAAGTTTCGCGACATGGAGCATAACAAAAGATCAACCCTTTTACGACAGCAGCTAATGTAAAAAGCCAGAACTCAGTATAGGCTTGAGTTTAATATAGAAATAGTGTTAGCAGTGGACGGTGCATTAGGAATACGGCAGTCGGCTAAACGCCCGAGTCCGACGATGTCTGAATATCAAGTTTGTCTTTTATGAAGTGCGGAGCACCTTTAAGAGCTGAGCTTGGGGAGGGGGGGTCCCTTTTGACACCACCACTATCGCCGCTTATGTCCACATATCAATCACAAGTATTGCGTGGAGCTTAATGGGCAGACGAAGTTTATAGGTGGGACTGGGAGCCTAAATGCATATACGGAAGCCGCTGTGTCACGGGCATTTTACAGCCGAACGTCCCAGGGCAGCAGGTTGCAGAAATTAAAAGCACGTGAATTTGTATAGTAGAGGGAGCACCGCATGCCACTGTAAATACCAATATAATTTACCGAACTAAAGTCATTTAGATCTATTCGTCAGGCTAAAAGTCGCTTAAGTCTCAACTCCATAGTGCCTGTTTTGATTTTTTTTTATTACGCGACATCCCTTTCTTTAACATTAGCCTAATTACAAATGACGTCACGCGCGCCGAGAACTTGGTGACGTTGTGCTAAGTGGGTATGAAACGGCGGGGTTGAGAAAAATGACGTTTTTATTTATTTTAACAGACGAATAAGTGATAGATTCTAATTTTCCTACGAACTATAGGTTGATCTAGTTTTTTTTTTTCTAGAGGGAGATATCACTATATAGTGGGTGTTTTTTGTTTTTGTAATAATGGATAGTGGGGAGGGGTAAACATCTACTATTGAACAAATCAAAAACTGATGAAAGCAGAAGGCAAAGAAAAAAAAAACATGTGATATTCAAATGTAACTAATTAAAATTTAAAACTATTTTTATAAACACAATATTCTTAATTCAGAAAAAGTGTAGGCCTAAGACTAATGTCTACAGACAAAATAAACAGCTTAAATGGATCACCCATAAACAGTGCCGGCGCCAGGTTATTTAGCGCCCTAAGCAAAACTTATTAAAAGCACCCCCCCGCCGCAATTTTTTTCATGCCCCCGTATTATCAGAGGCGTAGCGACCCTTCCCGGCGCCCGGGGACAAGCTTACGATTTGCACCCCCCCCCAAACTTTCAATTTGTTTTTCCAACCCATTTTTGCGCTCCCCCCCCCCTCTACGGAAAGCGCCCTAGGCGACAGCCTAGTTCGCCTTATAGGTAGCGCCGGCCCTGTCCATAAATGACATCATACTTTTCCCGATGAATTACCTTTCCCCCAATCCTCACTAAAAGCAAGATGATGATTTAATATCATATCGTGGTTCTACTATACCCGAACGCGTAATCACCATTTCTAACGAAAACGAATATATTGTTCATCATTTTAAAAAAATATTTTACCCCGTCCCATATTTTGAGTCCAACGTCCTTTATGAAGAATATGGACGACCTAATAATTGACAAGTTCATCAGTACAAAAGGGTTTAATAAATGTTCGACCTCCCAAAAGTTTTTGAGATCTTGGATGTACATACATACATACATAGCCTTCTTTTCAATTGAAATTAAAGATAAGACATTAAACAAGAAAGCTATGTATATTAAACAACAAAGTCAACACAATATACATACGAATAGACATTTGTATCAAGGGAAACTACTTTAAATTTTATTTGGAAAGATGGCCGCTGTTTTTATCTATTAATATTTATCTCAAACATCTAGTTTAAAGTTAGTTTCATGATGTTTTAAATTGTTTTGGTCACTGATTGTTATTTTAAATCAATTATCTGTTATATTTTGTAAAATTTGACTTAAATAAACTTATTTAAACAAATATATTCATCAGTTACCTCTCCCGCACATTTCTACTGCAGCCGAATTGATTACGCTAAAACGATAGATTACCGTTAAAACTTTTACATTGGAATTTTGATATTTATTTTATATAAATAATTTTTTTTAAATTAATGAAATCAAGTTTTTTTTTCTGCTGTAGAAATAATTTAATTTAAAAAAGGCCCCAAGTCCTTTCTTAGTGTACAGGCAGTGGCATTCAGTGTGGGGGAGGGCGGGCGACTAACATTAACATTGTTAATTTTTGCATAGGGGACCGAAAATCCTAGCTACGCCACTGAATGCTGCCCATACAATTTAACAAAAAAAAGTTATTACACTGCAAATGGCCATATATTTCACCAAAGATGCCCCAAAAATTTATAATAATAATATGGGCATAATTACCCTTTGGATGCCCTTAAAATGGATAATAATGAAGAAGTACATTAAAAAATAGCTTTAGAGATGCCCCCAATGTTAACAACGATGATTGGTGTAATTACTGTTGCATGTCCTTCGAGTGTAATACATGAATATAAGCTTAATTACTTTCAAGATGCCCCTACAATATATAAAATGAAGATGGGCATACTTACTGTATGGATGCCTTTAAAATGTATTATAAAGTGAAGTGGGCATATTAGTAAATGCTCATAAAATATATTATAATGAATATACGAAAAATTACTTTAAAGATGCCCCTATAGTGTATAAAAATAAATATGATTTAATTACTCGACGGATGTCCTTGAAAATGAGTATAACGAATACGCGCATATTACTTTAAAGATGCCCTTACAGTGCATGGGAATAACTTGGTCACAAGTACTCTAAACGATGCCCCTACACTATACTAAATAAATATGACACACATTTATTAATGGAATATCATTGACTTCCGTAGGACTACCCTTCACTGATGCCCGCTGTTTCTATATAAGTTTTGCCATACGGACAGTGTAATGTTAAAACGGCTGACAGACGATTGAGTGTTACAATTTTTTTGAGTGAGATCGCAAATCATATGGAAAGTTACGATGACACCATGACACGACATATCACAACAGTTTTTAAATTACTAAAAAAAAAAAAAAAAAAAAAAATAATTAAAAATTAATTAATTAATTAAATTTTTTTTTTTACCTCCGCTGGATGCCCCCCAGTGGTGGATGCCCGGGGCCTGGGCCCCGTCCGCCCCCCCCCCCCCTCTGCACGCCACTGATTTGGTGAGGGGGCAATTTAGTTCGGTGACAATTTGGTGAGGGGATTTGGTGAGGGGGCAATTTGGTTAGGTGACAATTTGGCTTTTTGTGACGATGTGTGCGGAGGGGAGGGGGTAGCTAAAAATCCTTTAAAAAGCGTGACGTCATTTATGGATGAACCCAAACTTGCGCATACAATGAATTACTTGTATATGAAATTTTGTCTACCTAACAATAATGGTACATTCGGTTACCGGAAATTGCTCAAAACGTTACGGAAAAAAAAATTACTTCTAGAGTCTATATACTGACACACACAGACACACACACACACAATCACACACACAATCACATACACACGCATGCACACACACACACAATTATATTCCAAATACAATAAAGTAGGGTTGTGTCAAAACCGCGAATTCCATTTAATGTTTGTGTACGATTAAAATACTTTCTCTTTACTCACTACATTCTGTATATAGGAATGTAAGGTAAAATAAAAGACAGACCAAATAAAATAATTGACAGATCAAATGAAATAAAAGACAGACCAAATAAAATAAAGGACAGACCTAATAAAATAAAAGACAGACCAAATAAAATAACTGACAGGTCAAATGAAATAAATGACAGACCAAATGAATTAATTGTCAGACCAAATGAATAAATGACAGACAGACCAAATGACATAATTGACAGATCAAATGAAATAACTGTCGGACCATAGGAAATAATTCACAGACCAAATGAAATAACTGACATCAAATGAAGTAATTGTTAGACCAAATAAAATAATTGTCAGAGTAAATGAAATAATTGTCAGACCAAATGAAATAAATGACCGACCCAACAAAACAACATTGAGGTAAATTTGTCAGGACCAGGAGAAGCTGTTCATCCATCCCGTTCCAGAGCGTTACAGCGGGAAAACAATCATGTATTACACGCAGGAGTTTATCAATGTGACCTGCACAAAAATGGTGAGTGCTGATGTCATCATGTCATGTTGTGTCATCTTGGTCATGTCATGTGGTGCCATTTGGAAATACTATGGCCATATGCTGTCATCTAGTGTCATCTTGGCCATGTTGTGACATCTAGTGACAGCTTGGCCATGTAATGACATCTTGTGACATCTTGGCCATGTTGTGACATCTATTAACATCTTGGCCATGTTGTGACATCTAGTGACATCTTGGCCATGTTGTGACATCTTGGCCATGTTGTGACATCTTGTGACATCTAGTGACATCTATGTCATGTGTTAGTGCAGGCTTTAAGGAACGACCTTCAGTGGACGTGGAGGAAGCTGTGCCCAAGGTCAAACAAATCGTTGCCATGGCACTACCCCAATCACGTGACCAGGCGCAGCTACAAGGTCAGCGACAGGCGGCACAACTGCAGCGCCGTCTACATGCACAGGACCACTCTACTGCTCCTGTTCACCAATGGGATTGATGGCTGCACGCTGGTGTGCAGTTTAGGTCAGTCAGATGATGTGCTTGTGTGTGAGAACTTCTTAGTGTGTGTGTGTTAATGTGTGAGTGTTAGAGGCAGTGGTGTTTTGTTGATCGGCCTTGACCTGCGATGACACTTGACCTTTCCAATCCTTATTCACAGCTGACCCAGTCGACATGGTTGTCTCATCCATGAACGTGACCTTAAGGAAAACAGGTTTGGTAGGACATTGGTAGGACATTGGTAGGACATTGGTAGGACATAGGGAGGGGGAGGACATTGGTAGGGCATTGGTAGGACATTGGTAGGACATCGGTAGGACATTGGGAGGACATTGGTAGGACAATGGTAGGACAATGGTAGGACATTGGTAGGACATTGGTAGGACATTGGTAGGACAATTGTAGGACATTGGGAGGACAATAGTAGGGCATTGGGAGGACCTTGGTAGGACATTGGTAGGACATTGGTAGGAAATTAGTAGGACAATGGTAAGACATTGGTAGCACATTGGTAGGACAATTGTAGGACATTGGGAGGACAATGGTAGGGCATTGGGAGGACCTTGGTAGGACATTGGTAGGACATTGGTAGGACATTGGTAGCACATTGGTAGGACATTGGTAGGACATAAGTAGAACAATGGTAGGACATTGGTAGAACAATGGTAGGACAATGGTAGGACATTGGGAGGACATTGGGAGGACATTGGTAGGACATTGGTAGGACAATGGTAGGACATTGGTAGGACATTTGTAGGACATTTGGAGAACATTGGAAGGACATTGGTAGGACATTGGTAGGACACTTGTAGGGCATTGGGAGGACATTGGTAGGACATTGGTAGGACATTGGTAGGACATTGGTAGGACAATGGTAGGACATTGGTAGCACATTGGAGGGACATTGGGAGGACATTGGGAGGACAATGGTAGGGCATTGGTAGGACATTGGTAGGACATTGGAAGGACATTGGTAGGACATTGGGAGGACATTGGGAGGACATTGGTAGGGCATTGTGAGGCAGGTGGGCGATGGTTTTATAAAGCCTCATCTCATGAATATTTCCTCTCCTGTAGAAGAACTATTTCCCCTCCTGTGGAAGAACTATTTCCCTTCCTGTGGAAGAACTATTTCCCTTCCTGTAGAAGAACTATTTCCCCTCCTGTAGAAGAACTATTTCCCCTCCTGTAGAAGAACTATTTCCCCTCCTGCAGAACAACTATTTCCCCTCGTGTAGAAGAACTATTTCCCCTCCTGTAGAAGAACTATTTCCCTTCCTGTGGAAGAACTATTTCCCTTCCTGTGGAAGAACTATTTCCCCTCCTGCAGAAGAGCTATTTCCCCTCCTGTAGAAGAACTATTTCCCCTCCTGTAGAAGAACTATTTCCTCTACTGTAGAAGAACTATTTCCTCTACTGTAGAAGAACTATTTCCCCTCCTGTAGAAGAAATATTTCCCCTCCTGTAGAAGAACTATTTCCCCTCCTGTAGAAGAACTATTTCCCCTCATGTAGAACAACTATTTCCCCTCCTGTAGAAGAGCTATTTCCCCTCCTGTAGAAGAACTATTTTCCTCCTGTAGAAGAACTATTTCCCCTCCTGTAGAAGAACTATTTCCCCTACTGTAGAAGAACTATTTCCCTTCCTGTTGAAGAACTATTTCCCATCCTGTAGAAGAACTATTTCCCCTCCTGCAGAAGAACTATTTCCCTTCCTGTTGAAGAACTATTTCCTCTCCTGTAGAAGAACTATAACTCCTCCTGTAGAAGAACTATTTCCCCTCCTGTAGAAGAGCTATTTCCCCTCTTGTTGAAGAATTATTTCCCCTCCTGTAGAAGAACTATTTCCCATCGTGTAGGAGAACTATTTCCCCTCCTGTAGAAGAACTATTTCCCCTCCTGTAGAAGAACTATTTCCCATCCTGTAGAAGAACTATTTCCCCTCCTGTAGAAGAACTATTTCCCCTCCCGCAGAAGACACGTCACTCCGTCTAGCCATGGCCCTGGGTCAGGCCGAGTGTCTCGACCACATGAAGCTGGTGACCGTCGTGAGTGTCGTCATGGGGTTCCTGGTCCAGCTGATCTACTTCACCTGGTACTTCCTCCAGCGGTACCTGGGCGCCAACCAGGCCGACAAGAAGGTGGTCAGCGCCGACAAGATGCCGGCTAGTGTGGTACAGCAGCACTACTCCACTATGGGGGCCTTGTGATTGGGGGGGGGGGGGGTGGTACAGCAGCACTATTCCACTATGGGGGCCTTGTGATGGGTGGGGGTGGTACAGCAGCACTATTCCACTATGGGGGCCTTGTGATTGGTGGGGGTGGGGGGTGGTACAGCAGCACTATTCCACTATGGGGCCCTTGTGATTGGTGGGGGTGGGGGTGGTACAGCAGCACTATTCCACTATGGGGGCCTTGTGATTGGGGGGGGGGGGGTGGGGGTGGTACAGCAGCACTATTCCACTATGGGGGCCTTGTGATTGGTGGGGGGGGGGGTACAGCAGCACTATTCCACTATGGGGGCCTTGTGATTGGTGGGGGGGGGGGGTGGTACAGCAGCACTATTCCACTATGGGGGCCTTGTTATTGGTGGGGGTGGGGGGGGGTGGGGGGGGGTTGATGATGGGTGTCATTGTGTCATGGTGTTGGGTGTCATGAGGTTGGGTGTCATGGTGTTGTGATTTTGTTTGAGTCTTGATTGAGTCAGCATGTGGGGGGGGGGGGCATTTGATGTTTAGGTTGTTCTGATAATACACGTGAGCTCCTGCTGTCTAATTGATCAGGTGTTGAAATAAAATGTGTAACTTGTTTGAAGTTTTGTTTCTTGCTCAAAAGTTAGGAATTAAAAGGTAGTTATAATTATTATTTTTTTTGTTTCATTATGCGATTCTAGTCTAACTTCACGATTCAAGCCATAAGGCTAGAAAGTTGAGTATTTCATCTTTCTACAACCCCCCCCCCCCCCCTGCAGATGCATGCTTAGCCGAGCCTTTAAACAAGACAAACACAAGATTCTTTAACATTCTTTTATTGTTGAAAATTGATTGGACCCCCCCCCCCCCTCATAATCTGTGAATAAATAAAGTTTTTGGTGTCACCCTAGTGACGTAGTCAACTCTCTACTGCACCAATAGAGAGCCAAAAGTTTCCGAATATCCGAGAAGGTTTTATTTTAACAAACTTTTCTTCCGCTTGACCCCTCGTCATTCGGGTGTGTCTGGGAACATAGGGTGAGATTTCACCTCCACATTTGTTGGGGGCTGAACTCGTAGGCAGTGTTTCTTCCAGACTTTTTTTTTCCGGGGGGGGGGGGGGGGTAGACTTTCTTCGGGGGGAGGGGGGGGCGGTAGACTTTCTTCGGGGGGGGGGACACTTAAAAGTATATTTTAATTTCATTTCGTTCGGGGGGGGGGGGGCGTAGAATTTTTTTCGAAGAGATGCCTGGAAGAAACTGCTGGTAGGTAAAACTCTGATGACGTCACCGGGTTTGGGTGAGGTCGCGGTCATCTACTGAAGGTGAGGACGAGCAGAGACACGGCTGATTGGTTACACACAGGAAGTGTGTACACGAGTGAACATGTTGAAGACGAGGGCACACACACGTGACTTTGTTTTGGTTTTAAAACGGCCTGCGAACAGTTTTATCTAGGCCACAGGCAGCAGGAGAGGCACTGGGCCAAACAGCTGTGTGTGTAGCGTGACGTCACGTTGGTAGTGCTCTCAGCCTGGGGGTGGGGCTGGACGGGCGTCAGGGCGGGCTGGGTGAAGGTCGGAAATCTGGTCGGCTTGTTGAAGATAGGGATCAACTTGCGGGTGGACGACTTCTCGGCGTAGATTGGTTCAGCGCAAGGGCCGATAACCACGGGAATCTGGTCGCAAGAAACCAAATCTGGGGTTATCTTTAGCTTTTTGTAGGCAGGTGTGTAAATAGCTAATGTTATGAGTGTGAGAATGTAGTTATGTGATTGTTTAAAAAATTCAAGGTGATTACTTTTAGAAATGAGAGACTCAAAATGTTGACATAATATCCTTCAAATTAACATTTCATAATTAAATTCCCCCCAACTTTACAAAACACCCCACCCCCACCCAATGCTTGCTGACCCCCCCCCCCCCCTCCCACGTACCTTGAAAGACAGTTTCCCGCCCACCGGAGTGAAGCGAAGTTTGATTGACAGCGAGTGTGTGACCTTGACCTGGCTGGCACCAAGGCTGAAGACGGACAGGATACTGGTGCTCGTGGGGACAATGACGTCATACGTCGTCTTCGTGACGTCACGAGACGTGCGCTTGATAGTCTCATTCGGCCGTTCAAGGTCACGAAAATCTTGAAGCGACATCTGGTGGAGCTTGAAGGTCACTGACTCTTGTTTGGGGTTCAAGGTCACATGTTCCTGCAGCGTGCAGACAATGTTCTGGAACAAAAGATTTCGAAAACTAAAACCATAAAATGTCACAAACTACGGCTAGGACAGAGGCGTAGCGAGGGCGGGGGTGCGGACCGCACCGGGTGACACCATTTAGGGGGGGGGGGGGTGACACCAAGGCAAAAAATAGCAAAATATATAGAGAAAAAGTTGAGGGGGGGGTGCAAATCGAAAGTTTGAGGGGGATGCAAATCGAAAATTTGAAAGTTTGTCCCCGGGAAGAGTCACTACGCCTCTGGGGGGTGACACCATTAAGTGCCGCACCGGGTTACACCCGACCTCGCTACGCCACTGGGCTAGGGTAACCTTAAGATGTAACAAACAGGCTTTAGGGCTAAGGTAATCGTGTCGGTATTCGCCAGTGACGTCAGTGTCGGCATAACGTCCCTGACCATGTCATGTTATCAGCACAGAATAAACACTTGGAAACGTGACGCCGTTGCTAGGAACAACAAACAACACTTTTGTTGACAGTTATCTCCCCTTACAAGAGGTCACGGCGTCCTGTAGAACAGGAAGTTGACCCAGTCTATAAATAGAGTATTCTGAGAAAGCCGTGTCAGCTAACCATTGAAAGTTTCCTTCAGATCAAACGTTTTTCCCTTCAAACCTAGTAATGTCAGCTACATTTCATTGATCAACTGAGTGGGATTTTTAATAAAGCTGATTTTGTATACGCATATTGTAAAAAAAAGGTCTGACACCGCTACCCCACACCCTGACAGTCTGACCCCCCCCACCCCCACCTTGTCTGACCCCCCTACCTTGACGGCCTGAGACTTGTGTAGCTGGATGAGCAGCTGTAGTCTGACGTCATCTCCCGCCAAAAAGACACCACGCTCCAGGTGAACTGTGACCTTGGCCGCTGTTCCACTGTTGCATGACAGGTAGACCTGTGGAGACAAGCACATGTCATCTGGTGTCGTTTGATGTCATCTCATGTCATCTGGTGTCGTTAGATGTCATCTCATGTCATCTGGTGTCGTTAGATGTCATCTCATGTCATACGAAGTCAAACGATGTCACATCATGTCGTTTTTTACCACCATATTTGTAAAACTAATTTTAAAATATTTGACAATAATTAGATCGACTTTTCAAGCCTATTCTGGATAAGTTTCTAGAATGGACACAAAAGTTGTGTTCACTCCATATAAGGCTTGACGCGCACATTGTTGCTGCACCACCTAGCGTCGTCTTGTGGCTGATCTGTCTATAGTGGTGTTTGCTATGTGCTATATCGGTGGTTAAAGTGTTAAAGTTGTAGTTAAGTTGTTAGAGTGGTGTTAAAAGTTTTAAAACCCACCTCCCCACAACCCACCCCCCCACAACCCACCTCCCCACAACCCACCCCCCCCCACAACCCACCTCCCCACAACCCACCTCCCCACAACCCAACTCCCCGACTCCCCAAAACCCACCTCCCCACAATCCACCTCCCCACCACCCACCTCCCCACAACCCACCTCCCCACAACCCACCTCCACACAACCCACCTCCCCATCACCCACCTCCCCACAACCCACCTCCACACAACCCACCTCCCCATCACCCACCTCCACACAACCCACCTCCCCATCACCCACCTCCCCATCACCCACCTCCCCATCACCCACCTCCACACAACCCACCTCCCCACAACCCACCTTTTCTGTGTGAGTGATGGGAGTCGTGACGTCAGGGATCAAACTCAAGTCAAAGCCACGCTGTACGTTGAAGTTAACCTTTGGATACAAGCAGGGATATATGTGTGTATATAATTATATATATATATGTATATATATATATATATATATATATATATATATATATATATATATATATATATATATATATATATATATATATATATAACGAATCTATAATGTAAGACTTTTTGCAGAGACAGGGCTATGTGTGAGAGATTGTAGGGCTGATGATCTTGTCCAATAAACGTGGCATTACAACCGTTGTTAAACGTGACATTACAACCGTTGTTAAACGTGGCATTACAACCGTTGTTACACGTGACATTACAACAGTTGTTAAACATGGCATTACAACCGTTGTTAAACGTGGCATTACAACCGTTGTTAAACGTGGCATTACAACCGTTGTTAAACGTGGCATTACAACATCTTGTATATCAGCTGGGTTTGTTAGATGGCCCTTTACTAACCTGTTCGGCCATGATGACCTTGGTTAGATGGCCCTAGATTCTCCTGTTCGGCCATGATGACCTTGGCTCACCTGTTTGGCCATGATGACCTTGGCTCACCTGTTTGGCCATGATGACCTTGGCTCACCTGTTTGGCCATGATGACCTTGAGCATGCGTGGTGAGGCCGCCCGCGCCACGCCTGCAGCTGTCGAGTCATCAAAGAGCCTGGCCTTGAGGCTGTAGACGATGTCGAACGAGAAACCGTTCTTGACGTCTGCGTGTCGGATGCTGGACGGCAGGTCCTTGGGGAGCTTGACGCTGAGCGAGAAAAGATGACGTCACTTACTGGGCTCGATTTTTTTATCCCATCCTCTCCACTTTTTCTTTTGACAGCCCCCCCCCCTCCCTTCCTTCCTTCCCCCAAATGATTTATCTCTACGGACACAAAAGGGAGAGAACTCACCAAAACTTGGACTGGTAGTGCCCGGGGGTCAGCATGGACCTGCGAGTGACCTCCCCTGAACCTATGACGTAGGTCTGCTTGTGGAGGTAACTCTCCTTCCCCTGCACGGGCAGGCCATTGGTTGACCGTTTGATGCTGTAGCGACCTTTGCCGGTGACCACCAATTCCAGGTATCGAATCTCAAGGTTCTGATTCACTATTAAATTGATCGATCCCTTGACGACCTCTCCTGGTCGATACTGGTAACTCGATACTTTTTCAGTTTCGATATCGAAAAATGAAATGCACGCGTCTTTCTTTCTGCCAAACCCCTCCCACGTCAGGTCTATGTGGCGGGGTAGGAACCCTGAGCGGTAGGTCCGGGGGGACCTGACCCCCACAGTGTGTGCCCGCCGCTGGGGGGACTCCCCGTACCAGGGGCTGTATGTGTACGCCGGAAGTAGTCGGGTTGTGGCGTATTTGTGTAATCGATTCCGCATTGTATCGTTGATAGTAAAGAAATGTTGATTTTCGAAAGGGTTTTTTTGATAGACCAAATGATTTTCTAACATGGCGGGGTCCGTGTTGAAGAGATTTGACGTGACTGTTATCGTGCTGAGGATCTCTTTGGTGGCCGGCCCGTCATTAGAATCTGATGTGTGTTCTTTAGGCAGCTCGCCATTAGGTGTGTGTTCTTTAGGCAGCCCGCCATTAGGTTTGTGTTCTTTAGGCAGCTCGCCATTAGAATCTGATGTGTGTTCTTTGGGCAGCCCGCCATTAGGTGTGTGTTCTTTGGGCAGTATACCATTTGGTGTATGGGGTGTGGTCACTCCATCTTTGTGTGGGTGGGGGGTGGTCGGTCCATCTTTGTGTGGGTGGGGGGTGGTCACTCCATCTTTGTGTGGGTGGGGGGTGGTCACTCCATCTTTGTGTGGGTGGGGGGTGGTCACTCCATCGTTTAGCACGTCTTCGGTGCCAGAACTTTCCAGATCACTGGAAGCTTGGCTGGACATTTCGTCTGTGTGTAAGTACCTGGGACACCTGGGACTGACACCTGGGACTGACACCTGGGACTGACACCTGGGACTGCCACCTGGGACTGACACCTGGGACTGACACCTGGCACCTGGGACTGCCACCTGCCTGTAAGTAAAGAAAAATATAACATCGGTTATCCCCCATTGGCGCTAGGTCAGCATCAGGCACAACATCAACAACAAGATGCACCGACTAAACGGTTTGAGACAAAACAGCCACACTCCCTATCCTCACTACCTGGTCCCCGTCAAATTGGCTCCCGACAAGCCTAGGGCTTGCAACAAAGTGACTTCCTACAAAAAGTTCCTTGAGGCTTTGGGTCAAGGAGAAAAAGAAAGTGGCGAACAGTATGCGTCAGTGTCACACAAGTGTCACGAAAGTGTCAAACAATTGTCATACAAGTGTCACACAATTGTCACATAAGTGTCACGAAAGCGTCACACGATTGTCACACAAGTGTCATACAACTATTCATGATACTACGGCAGCTTAATATTGTTCTGGAGCTTAATTGGTTGTAAGATTAATATGGTGGGAACTTAAGAAATATAAAGGTAGAATTGGCGCTAAATGTTCAGACAAGACCTAACACAAGACAAGATCACAAAATTAAAAAACTAGATGGCACATCACATCACATCACGACACAACATAGCACAGCACAGCATAGCACAACATAGCACATCACAGCACAACATAGCACATCACAACACAGTACAGCACAGCACAGCACAGCACAACATAGCACATCACATCATAGCGCAGCACATCACATCACAGCTACTTGGACCTCACAAGACTCCGTCATGCAATGGGCGTGTCAGTGAAACAGTGGGCGTGTCCTGTATACAGTGGGCGTAGTCAGATCTATATCACCTGCGAAAGTTTAAACACTGTTGCTAAATTCTCTGGGCAGAACAATTGTGAAAATATCCAAATCCATTGAAAGTTTTCTATTTTTGGACCATTATCTTCGAGCGAAAAGCTGTGAATTAAGGGCGGGAACAGAGCGATATGGCAGAAAACCTGTTCCACTCTACCCGAACTAGCGACTGCTAGAATTAGAACTTGTCGTCTGCTAAAAGCAGGCTCGTTTTGGTAGAAAAGTGGATCAGGATTTGAATGGCTTTATTTGCAAGCCTTCTAAAAAAATTCTTGAAGAACTCATTAGACTTAGATTAAAACATAAATCATAATTAAACCAAACTAGGTTAGGATTAAATTATGTTTACTCTTGGTCTGAAAATGTCCGTTTTACATCTAGCTTTTGTGTACAATTTACATCTTGATTCTGTATAAAATATATATAACATACACACATACACACATACCCACACATACATACATATACACACATACAGTTGTATTCGCACACCCCATCGACACCCAACACAATTTATGCTGATGTTGTGTAGGTGTAGTTTTATATAGTGATCCATTCTTGCGTGAAGCAACAAAGTCAACATCTTGCTCAGCTAGTGAATAACGCCACCTGGTTGTGTAACGCCCTCGTCTGACATCACGTGAACTTACGTGACATCACGTGACCTCATGTGACAGACCAATCTACTTGTATTTACAGGCACGTCAAATCCATTCAGTGTTAATATATACCTTAACCCTAACCCTTACCCTAACCCTAACCATAACCCTACTGAAAGGTAGGTTAGTATTATTGCTTTATTTGCCGAATTGATGTGAATTAAAACCGAAACAAGACGGCAGGTGGGAGCTACAAAGTTTATCTCAAGATTATAGAACATTTTGTAAGGCCATAGCTCATTGACAGTGGCGGATTAAGGAGTTGAACATTTTCTCTTTTCAACAACAATACAAATAATTTTCCTAGGGATTTTTATTTGTTTTGTACAATCTAAATGAACGGTGAATTTCCAAACCATTAGCTTTTTCCCCTCTAAATTTACAAATACGAAAGCATAAGATATTTACATTTGTCCCTTAGTCGGACCTCAACGCCCACGCTCTACAATGCAAACTGTAGCTGTCATCGCTTCATGCAAAACAATATTTATTTAAAGTGAGCTCTCCCTAAAATAATAAATGTGTTTTTGCTCGTGCGGCGTCAAAACGGCCAATGACAAAACAGCCCCGTCAAAACGACCCCGTCAAATCGGCCCCGTCAAAAGGGCCAGCGACATATGGACCCCGTCATATAGGCTCCCGACAAATAGGCTCCCGTCATTTAGGCTGCCGACAAATAGGCTCCCGTTATATAGGCTCCCGACAAAAGGGCTCCAGTCAATAAGGCTCCTGACAAATAGGCTCCCGTCATTTTGGCTCCCGACATATAAGCTCCCGTCATTTAGTTTTTTCCACAAAACGGCCCCCGTCATTACGACTCCCGACAAATAGGCTAGCGTCATTTTGACTCACGACAAAAAGGCTTCTGTCAATTTGGCTCCAGACAAAAGGACCACTGACACAGTGGCGTAGCTACCGTAAAGCTAGCGTAAGCAATGCATAGGGGCCCAAGGCATAAAAAATTAAAACTTTTACAATGGAAGTTTAATATTTGTAACATATAAATAAGTTTAAAAAAGAAAAAGGTTAAAAGTTCCAAAAAGCCCCCCCCCCCCCACCGTTTCGGCAGTGGGATTCAGTGTGTGTGTGTGTCAAACAGAGCCCAATCGTTATAATAACACTACAGGCGATATCACTTTGTCGTGCAAGACATTGAGAGAATCAGCCTATAAATAAACTTTTTAGCAGTAGTAGGCAATCATAATAATATAGTATAAATACAAAATCAGGACATATAAAATACAAAATTTTGCCTTCAGAATATTTATATATTAAAAAATATCCATCGTAAGTAGAAGTTGATCTCTTCGTTTAACTCCTCTGTAGCCTAACGCAGAGGCGTAGCGAAGGCGGGGCGGGGGATGCGGACCGCAAAGGGTGACACCATTTAGAGGGGTGACACCAAAGGCAAAAAATTGCAAAATTTATAGAATGAAAAGCCATTTTTCCAGATCCATTAGTTAAAGTTAAATAGTCTTCTAAGTACAAATCGAAAATTATATCAAGAGGGGGGGGGGGGTGACACCACGACGTAAACGTAAACTATAAAGAAAACAATGCCACATCCAACTGTATTATAAACAGACTGTAGATAAACATCGTTACTACTAAGTCTGCAGTGATTAAAGCTTAAACACGTACGTGTACCAGTATGTGGCATATATATAAATTTTAGGCCTATGTAGGCCGACACACACACACACACACACACACACACACACATATATATATATATATATATATATATATATATATATATATATATATATATATATATATATATATGCTTTGTTTCAGGGGAGTGGGTGACAATTATTTAAATTATTTAAATTATTTACCGATTAGTCGGTACATGGTGTTATGGAAATAATTAGTGTAATCTTAAAGATCAATGTTTTTTTTTTTGTTTTTTTTTTAAATCCCGCCGATTTTGATATTTGTTCAAGATATGGTTAAATTAGGTTTTAGTTTATGAATACAATTAATTAATAATAATCATCATTACCTGTTTATGGTAGGGGAGATAGGCCTACTTAGAAAAGAAACAAGTCTGATGCTATATTTAACTTCATTTTTTTAGTATTATAATTTTCTTTAAACGATTCAATTCGATGAGAGGTTAAGACTATGTTTTATTGTAGTTGTCAGTGTTATAGATTTGATTATACTGGTCGCCCGGGGGGGGGGGGGGGGCCGTTGAATAAAGCAATGACCAGTGTAATATATATATATATATATATATATATATATATATATATATATATATATATATATATATATATATATATATGTATATATATATATATATATATATATATATATATATATATATATATATATATATATATCTATAATCGCCCACCTACATTCGCCATTGCTGTTCATCTTGCTACTATAACTAAGCATTGATTTTCAAGTAAGATAGCTTAGCTTCCATTGAATTACGATTGACGGTTGAATATTGTTGCTAAATTTTATGATCTCACCACGGTTGACTGAACATAAAACCACTACATTCTCGCGCCACTTAATCACATTTTTCTCACCGTGCACAAGTTGTTCATATTGTTCCGCTCTACTGAACTCATTAGGTGCTGAACACATGTGTGTTTTTTATCTAATGAGGCGCTCCATCCTATAGAGGGGAGAGGCACTCCTACGTGCCAGTAATATATATATATATATATATATATATATTTATATATATATATATATATATATATATATATATATATATATATATATATATATATATATATACCCCTCACAAAGAATGGGGTCGGAAATGATAAGTGTAATTAAAATTATAATCACTAAGACTACAACATTGATCGCTTAGCTGTATCACTCGACACACACACGCACACATACACATCAGACCAAATGACTAGTGTTTCTTTTAGACGTTTTTCTCCGGGTTGTGGGCGGACACTAGTAAAACTATATATTTTTTTTATAAATACCATATCGTTCGAGGAGCGGGGAGCTGCCCTCCCCCTACACCTCCCTCGACTAGGTGTGAAACTAATGTTCGTCACGCACTTAATTACGGCCCGTTTCGATCATGTTTATTAATGATATGGTGCAATTACCTGGGGCCTTATGAGCAAATCAACGCCATGTATGGTTACTGTATTTTGTTCGATTATGACAACAAAGACACCACTGATCCAGAAACTTATAGAAACTACTCACGGTTTTAAAGTGCAGACGTACAGCTTCTTTAAATCCTGCCTGATTTAATTAACAATCACATCCAACTAGATTTAATTTCGGCCGAGAAAATAACAAATTGAAAAACTGCTCAATTAGCTACTTCCGTATCAGTGCCATCTAGCCATTGTGGCAAGTCTGTCGAAACGAAATGTGCTGGCAAACAACAGGGAGTCACCACACCAAGACGGACACGTTTAAAAGTTGAGCCGACACCGAAAAAGAGCATTCTATGCTGACATTTAGGCTAACGTTTAGGATAACATTTAGGATAACTTTCTCAACCCAATCGTCTGCAGACGTTTTTTTGTCAGAACGTGGCCCACGTTTGATCTGTCTCAGCTGACGAACTGAGCTAGCAGACGATCAAATCGGCCGGAAACAAACTGGTAGAACGGGTATTAGGTGCGTTATCAGCGCCGCTAGAATAGACGGTGTACTTAGTACCGACTGGTTTCTTTGGAATCTATTTTTTAATACTACCCACACACTTAGAGCTGGGCTAAATTTTCCCGGGGGGGGGGGGGGGGGGTGAGGGTTGGGTGGTGGTGGTGGGAGGGGGGGGGGCAACACCGGTTACAGGGCGGTGGACGTGCTCCGGTAAGATGCCTGAAAGAAACAGCGCCACACACAAACCTACCCACCCACAAATCTACCAAACGACAAACGTACCTACCCACAAACCTACCAACACACCAAACCTACCAACCCACAAACCTACCAACCCACAAAACTACCATCCCACAAACCTACCACCCCACAAACCTACCCACCCACAAACCCACCAAGCTACAAACCTACCCACCAGCTCGTGCGGTAACACATGACCTATCGACCCAGTACACATCCCATGCAATCAATACTAGTCTATATTTAACCGCCATTAGCCCGTGTTTACACAACCGCCATGATGGTCCAATCACAAAGATATTTATTGAACGGCCGGACAATTTGTCGCGCCACGCACAATTGTACAATTTCGACTTTAGCACACAACTTTTTTTCATGTCAAGTTTTAAGAGAGGAACACTGCCAGTGGTCTTCACCACAAAAAGCAAAACATCCAGTAATTAGAATTAGGCCTCTATGTCAAATGATTTTATTATTTAAGAAGATACTGATAGAAATTTCTGAAGCCTACAACAATGTCAATGTGTTACGTGATGACTGTAATTGTGTCACGTGAAAAATTGTGATTTAGAAAATAATGATTGCTTCCCTAAATAAATTCATTCATGTTTGTTTAAAAATATATTTTAGTATGTCATTATTAGTAGGCCTATTTTAGAAAGTAAAAAAAAAACACGACATTACTTTTAATATTAAAATGTTTTGAAGTTTACGACTTGTTTAAATCGTTGACGTATTCAAATTGGCGTAGATCTGTATCGTTAAAATTTGTAGATTGAATTTCTCATTTACGAATCTGAATGCAAATAGGAAAAATGAGTTTGCTTTGTCGTCCAATTTTATTTCTCTAGTCTGCCGATTTTAGACTGACAGGGGGCGTGGCAATGTTTTGCAGAGGTAGACTAGGCCTAGCAGTCTTGAGTTTTTTTTTTAAAGGGAAGCTACTTTAATGTTTTTGAACTTTAGTCCTAGATTCTAGTTCTAAAAATCTAAATCTGAATCAGTAAGCTATCGGCCCATATAATATATAATTTAATAAATATAGTATATATTTTATAGGCCTACACATGTTTATATAATATTCAGTCTTGGCGGATTGCTAGACCTAGAGCTAAATCTAGTAATTATTTTCTAACTTCTGTAATTAATGAATAGACTAAATGTTAGTCAAGTGAAGTTAGTGTCACGTATGTTTCATCACCACACTCACACATACGACATACATTACATTACATTATATATAATTAATAAACTATTAATATATTATTATTTTGTCTAAAAATAAAAATTTTGTTTTGCTACAGGAAAGGTCTAGATCTAGCTAGATTCTAGATAGATCTAGGACAATCTAGGTTAGATCGGACTACTTACTACTACTACTTATTTAACTTATTAGGCTACTTGTTATATTAGTTTCAGCACTTAGACTAGTGACTAGATCTAGAAAATCTAGATTCTAGTCTAGCTAGCTAGATCTAGATCTAGAAATCTAGATCTAGTAATAGTTAGTAGTTAGTAGCTAGATTCTCACTAATAGTAATACACTAGCTAGTGAGTGTGATGGTCAACTCTACTAGATTCTAGATCTAGAATCTACTACTAGACTAAAGTGTAATTAAGAAAAGTTAACTATTAATAACTATTAACTAGAGTAACTAGACTAGTGACTATAGCCAAGACCATTTTAGTTTGAACTGCTCAATAAAAAATAAAGTAAACCTAACAAAGCCTACATTATTCCCTTTCTTAAATCTTAATTTAAATCTGCTTTAAAATTTCTAGCGACCACTAGCCCAACTACGAGCCTGGGCAAAAATGTATGGAGATGCAGGCAATTCAGCTGAGATGAAGAAGAGGCCAAATTTGGTTGGAGCAGTTGATCAAGGCACCAGCAGTACAAGATTTTTGGTACAAAAGTTTTTGTTTTCCTGCTTTAGAAATCATGCACTTGCGTAATACATTTAACAATGATATAAACTATCACCCCTTATACATAACAACACTATGACACGCTACTCCCCAAAAATGACACCATTAACTGCGACAAATGCTGAACATTCAAACAAATATAACATTATAATCTAGAAGAGCAATGTGGATGTAATATATTATACTTGAATACACCACTTCACACATCTACTATAACACTACGACACTGGTAAACAGGATGATGCATGATTCAGTCATTATTTATTATGTGTGTTATAAAAATTGATCTGGCCTAGGCACAATAGTGGCATGCTTAGATTTGATTGGTCTGGAATTTCTTAAAGCTAATCTACTCACCCTTATATCATTTATTGGATGCTGGTAAAGCTAATCCACTCACCCTTATATCATTTATTGGATGCTGGTAAAACTAATCCACTCACCCTTATATCATTTATTGGATGCTGGTAAAACTAATCCATATAACATTTGATGGATACAGCGGGGATCTAAGAAAGGTCAAGTGGACTAAGGCGTAAGTAAATGCTAGGTCAGAAATAAATATGTAAACATTGTTTCAGATTTTCAATGCAGCAACAGCTGAGGTGGTGACTTATCATCAAATTGAGATCAAACAGTTTTTTCCTAAAGAGGGGTATGTCAGCATTTTTTATTTCAGCCTTTTAATTAAAACTATTGTCATTTTATTTCAACTTTTTAGTTAGATTTCAACTTTTTAAGTTTGATTTCAACTTTTTAATAATCTAACTTTTTAATTTCAATTCTTATATTTCAAGTATTCAATTAAAACTTTTAAAGTTTTATTTCAACTTTCCTAGTTTTTCAAGTTATATTTCCACTGTTCTAAAATATTTCTTGTTTTGGGTTGTTGAATTGTTTCTCAGTGGGGATTTAGTATAGATACATTTTATAAGTTTACTAGCTTGTTTTATAAGAGGACAAGTTTGATCTGCCCTCCCTGTATCTGCCCTCCCTGTATCTGCCCTCCCTGTATCTGCCCTCCCTGTATCTGACCTCCCTGTATCTGACCTCCCTGTATCTGACCTCCCTGTATCTGACCTCCCTGTATCTGCCCTCTGTATCTGCCCTCCCTGTATCTGCCCTCCCTGTATCTGACCTCCCTGTATCTGACCTCCCTGTATCTGCCCTCCCTGTATCTGACCTCCCTGTATCTGTCCTCCCTGTATCTGACCTCCCTGTATCTGACCTCCCTGTATCTGACCTCCCTGTATCTGCCCTCCCTGTATCTGACCTCCCTGTATCTGCCCTCCCTGTATCTGACCTCCCTGTATCTGACCTCCCTGTATCTGACCTCCCTGTATCTGACCTCCCTGTATCTGACCTCCCTGTATCTGACCTCCCTGTATCTGACCTCCCTGTATCTGCCCTCCCTGTATCTGACCTCCCTGTATCTGCCCTCCCTGTATCTGACCTCCCTGTATCTGACCTCCCTGTATCTGACCTCCCTGTATCTGACCTCCCTGTATCTGACCTCCCTGTATCTGACCTCCCTGTATCTGACCTCCCTGTATCTGACCTCCCTGTATCTGCCCTCCCTGTATCTGCCCTCCCTGTATCTGACCTCCCTGTATCTGACCTCCCTGTATCTGACCTCCCTGTATCTGACCTCCCTGTATCTGACCTCCCTGTATCTGACCTCCCTGTATCTGCCCTCTGTATCTGACCTCCCTGTATCTGACCTCCCTGTATCTGCCCTCTGTATCTGACCTCCCTGTATCTGACCTCCCTGTATCTGCCCTCCCTGTATCTGACCTCCCTGTATCTGCCCTCCCTGTATCTGACCTCCCTGTATCTGACCTCCCTGTATCTGACCTCCCTGTATCTGACCTCCCTGTATCTGACCTCCCTGTATCTGCCCTCTGTATCTGCCCTCCCTGTATCTGCCCTCCCTGTATCTGACCTCCCTGTATCTGACCTCCCTGTATCTGACCTCCCTGTATCTGATCTCCCTGTATCTGCCCTCCCTGTATCTGACCTCCCTGTATCTGACCTCCCTGTATCTGACCTCCCTGTATCTGACCTCCCTGTATCTGCCCTCCCTGTATCTGACCTCCCTGTATCTGCCCTCTGTATCTGCCCTCCCTGTATCTGACCTCCCTGTATCTGACCTCCCTGTATCTGACCTCCCTGTATCTGACCTCCCTGTATCTGACCTCCCTGTATCTGCCCTCCCTGTATCTGACCTCCCTGTATCTGACCTCCCTGTATCTGCCCTCTGTATCTGCCCTCCCTGTATCTGACCTCCCTGTATCTGCCCTCCCTGTATCTGCCCTCTGTATCTGACCTCCCTGTATCTGCCCTCCCTGTATCTGACCTCCCTGTATCTGACCTCCCTGTATCTGATCTCCCTGTATCTGCCCTCCCTGTATCTGACCTCCCTGTATCTGACCTCCCTGTATCTGCCCTCCCTGTATCTGACCTCCCTGTATCTGCCCTCCCTGTATCTGCCCTCTGTATCTGACCTCCCTGTATCTGCCCTCCCTGTATCTGACCTCCCTGTATCTGACCTCCCTGTATCTGATCTCCCTGTATCTGCCCTCCCTGTATCTGACCTCCCTGTATCTGACCTCCCTGTATCTGCCCTCCCTGTATCTGATCTCCCTGTATCTGCCCTCCCTGTATCTGCCCTCCCTGTATCTGACCTCCCTGTATCTGACCTCCCTGTATCTGGCCTCTGTATCTGCCCTCCCTGTATCTGCCCTCCCTGTATCTGCCCTCCCTGTATCTGACCTCCCTGTATCTGCCCTCCCTGTATCTGACCTCCCTGTATCTGCCCTCCCTGTGTCTGACCTCCCTGTATCTGACCTCCCTGTATCTGACCTCCCTGTATCTGACCTCCCTGTATCTGACCTCCCTGTATCTGCCCTCCCTGTATCTGACCTCCCTGTATCTGCCCTCCCTGTATCTGACTTCCCTGTATCTGCCCTCCCTGTATCTGACCTCCCTGTATCTGCCCTCCCTGTATCTGACCTCCCTGTATCTGACCTCCCTGTATCTGACCTCCCTGTATCTGCCCTCCCTGTATCTGACCTCCCTGTATCTGACCTCCCTGTATCTGACCTCCCTGTATCTGACCTCCCTGTATCTGACCTCCCTGTATCTGACCTCCCTGTATCTGCCCTCCCTGTATCTGACCTCCCTGTATCTGACCTCCCTGTATCTGCCCTCCCTGTATCTGACCTCCCTGTATCTGTCCTCCCTGTATCTGACCTCCCTGTATCTGACCTCCCTGTATCTGACCTCCCTGTATCTGACCTCCCTGTATCTGCCCTCCCTGTATCTGCCCTTTGTGAGGGTGTGCTCTATACAAATATCTGACAGGTGGGTGGAAGAAGATCCGCTAGAAATCCTGGACTCCGTCAAAACTTGCATTGACAAGGCAACAGAAAACTTGGTCGGTCTCGGCTACCAGACTTCAGACATCAAAGGTTAGATCTCTTTTGAACAGACCTTCATGCTAGAGACTTTCATGCTAGTGACCTTCATGCTAGTGACCTTCATGCTAGAGACTTTCATGCTAGTGACATTTATGTTAGTGACCTTCTAGTGACCTTCATGCTAGTGACCTTCATGCTCATGTCCTTCATGCTAGTGATGTTCATGCTAGTGACATTTATGCTAGTAACCTTCATGCTAGTGACCTTCTAGTGACCTTCATGCTAGTGACTTTCATGCTAGTGACCTTCATGCTAGTGACATTTATGCTAGTAACCTTCATGCTAGTGACCTTCTAGTGACCTTCATGCTAGTGACCTTCTAGTGACCTTCATGCTAGTGACTTTCATGCTAGTGACCTTCATGCTAGTGACATTCATGCTAGTGACCTTCATGCTAGTGACTTTCATGCTAGTGACCTTCATGCTAGTGACATTCATGCTAGTGACCTTCATGCTAGTGACCTTCATGCTAGTGACCTTCATGCTAGTGACCTTCATGCTAGTGGCCTTCATGCTAGTGACTTTCATGCTAGTGACCTTCATGCTAGTGACATTCATGCTAGTGACCTTCATGCTAGTGACCTTCTAGTGACCTTCATGCTAGTGACTTTCATGCTAGTGACCTTCATGCTAGTGACATTCATGCTAGTGACCTTCATGCTAGTGACCTTCATGCTAGTGACCTTCATACTAGTGGCCTTCATGCTAGTGACTTTCATGCTAGTGACCTTGTGTTGCTGATATGCCCCACTGATCACACAGTTTTACAATCTGCTCAACTTGACATAGGACTCATCTACAGGCTGACTCAGCTGTCCTCTCTGGTCTTTTTCAGTCATCTGTTTGTATCAGTGATCTTTTAGTATCAGTCATCTGTTTGTATCAGTCATCTGTTTGTATCAGTCATCTGTTTGTATCAGTGATCTTTTAGTATCAGTCATCTGTTTGTATCAGTCATCTGTTTGTATCAGTCATCTGTTTGTATCAGTCATCTGTTTGTATCAGTCATCTGTTTGTATCAGTCATCTGTTTGTATCAGTCATCTGTTTGTATCAGTCATCTGTTTGTATCAGTCATCTGTTTGTATCAGTCATCTGTTTGTATCAGTCATCTGTTTGTATCAGTCGTCTGTTTGTATCAGTCGTCTGTTTGTATCAGTCATCTGTTTGTATCAGTCATCTGTTTGTATCAGTCATCTGTTTGTATCAGTCATCTGTTTGTATCAGTCATCTGTTTGTATCAGTCATCTGTTTGTATCAGTCATCTGTTTGTATCAGTCATCTGTTTAAAACTTCTTTCAGCCATCGGCATCACAAACCAGAGGGAAACGACCATTGTATGGGACCCTAGCACAGGCAGACCTTTGTATAACGCTATAGGTAAACACACCCCACACATCACACACACATCCCACACACATCCCACACACATCACAGGCAGACCTTTGTATAACGCTATAGGTAAACACACCCCACACATCCCCCCCACACACACACACACCCCACACACACATCCCACACACACACCACAGGCAGACCTTTGTATAACGCTATAGGTAAACACACCCCACACATCCCCCCCACACACACACACACCCCACACACACATCCCACACACACACCACAGGCAGACCTTTGTATAACGCTATAGGTAAACACACCTCACACATCACACACACACACCACACATCCCATACCCCATACACATACCATACACACACCATACACACACCACACCCCCCCACACACACACACCCGCACAAGCAAAACCTCTAGGAATATGCTATAGGTAAAGACTCAGTTTAGTATGGCAGATTTTTATTTCTACGATTATTTTTCCCTATATCATTAGTTTAACCAAACATGTGACCAGAGGCGTATCCAGGTTTTCGGCGTAGGGGGAGCGGAAACAGCAAAAAAAGGCGCCGAATTTGTAACATCTTATATATATATATATATATATACATAACACACTACAACCAGAAACAATGAACGCGGCATAATCTGTTTCGTAATCCTTGTAAAAAAATTTACATAATAATTCCTGGGACATCTATTAAGACTAGAGAAAAGGGGAAATAATCAATATCTTAATATAAATATGTATATGTCTACACATTTTATTATAAATATCAAAAGAAATGAATAATTACTTTAGAATCTAATAAAATAGCTTAACACTATTCGTTTTTACAAAAATAGTTTGTCTACATTCAGAATTAAATATATTGTCTTCATAAATGCTAAAGTATTACAGCATAATGAAAGTTTTTTAAATCAGAGTTGGTATAAAAGCCAGCTTTTCGATATAGAAATAAAACATTCGGAATAATAGCTTACACATAACTAACATATAGGTCTTTCTATTCAGATCATGCACTTTTAATTAGCTGATGACTTTTTGTGTTCTTTAAAGATAATTTTTTTGACATAATGAGAAGGTATGGGTTAGATCACTGTATTACTCACACACCTTTTATTGGTAATTGCAAAAACAATATTCACAGAGATTTACGTTTCAAATGTGCCGATCAAAGATAATTTTTTTAACAAATATCAATGTTTAAAACGTTGAGTTTAAAAAGTTTCCAAAAAGGCGCCACTTTGCTAAAAATGGCCTGCTCCCCCCCTGCGTACGCTACTGCATGTGACCCATGTATTTGTAGTTTAACCAAACATGTGACCCATGTGTTTGTAGTTTAACCAAACATGTGACCCATGTGTTTGTAGTTTAACCAAACATGTGACCCATCTGTTTGTAGTTTATCCAAACATGTGACAAATCTGTCTGTAGTTTAACCAAATATGTGACAAATCTGTCTGTAGTTTAACCAAATATGTGACAAATCTGTCTGTAGTTTAACCAAATATGTGACAAATCTGTCTGTAGTTTAACCAAATATGTGACAAATCTGTCTGTAGTTTAACCAAATATGTGACAAATCTGTTTGTAGTTTAACCAAACATGTGACCCATCTTTTTGTAGTTTGGAGTGACCTTAGAACTGCTACCACTGTGGATGAGCTGATTAAAAAAACTCCAGGTAGAAACAAGGACCATCTCCGGGCAAGTCACCCACTATAGTTGCTCATATAATCATACAACTTTACCATAATCATACAACTTTACCGTACATATACAACTTTACCTTAAGTATACAACTTTACCTTAAGTATACAATTTTACCGTACATATACAACTTTACCTTAAGTATACAACTTTACCTTAAGTATACAACTTTACCTCAAGTATACAACTTTACCGTACATATACAACTTTACCGTAAGTATACAACTTTACCTTAAGTATACAACTTTACCTCAAGTATACAACTTTACCATAAGTATACAACTTTACCTTAAGTATACAACTTTACCATAAGTATAAAACTTTACCATAAGTATACAACTTTACCTTAAGTATACAACTTTACCTTAAGTATACAACTTTACCATAAGTATACAACTTTACCATAAGTATACAACTTTACCTTAAGTATACAACTTTACCTTAAGTGTAGTGATGTGCTAATTAAATCAATGTGTTGACACATGTCTGTGTGTAGTGCTGTGCTAATTAAATCAATGTGTTGACACATGTATGTGTGTAGTGCTATGCTAATTAAATCAGTGTGTTTACACATGTCTGTGTGTAGTGCTGTGCTAATTAAATCAGTGTGTTAGCATATGTCTGTGTAGTGATGTGCTAATTAAATCAATGTGTTGACAGGGTCTATGCGGACTGCCCATCGCGACCTACTTCAGTGCGCTGAAACTGCGCTGGCTAATGGACTATTCTGAGAAGGTCAGGAAAGCTGTCGAGGGTGGTCATTGTCTGTTTGGTACAGTTGACACCTGGTTAGTTTGGGTAGGTTTTTCTAGTTCATGTGTGTGTACATGTGTGGAAGGGGTTGAGTGTGTGAGGGTTAGAGTGTGTGAGGGTTGAGTGTTTGAGGTTGTGAGGGTTTGAGTGTGTGTGATCGCATGAAAACTTTCTGGAAGTTGTTGATAAAATGTGCTCAAGTTTGGACCAGCAGAAACAACAGGCTGCATGTTGAACACATTTGATCCCTCTTGTCCAGGGTCTCAGAATTATTTCTCCAGTATGATGCTTGTCTCTCTTACAGAACCTAACTGGGGGCACCAGGGGAGGGAAGCACGTGACAGATGTCACCAACGCCAGCCGCACCATGCTCATGAACTTGTCGACCTTGACCTGGGACGACTACCTGTGCAGGTCACATTTTGATTCCTGCGTTTTGTTCAGAGTTGACAAGTTTTGTTCAGAGTTGACAAGTTTTGTTTAGGGTTGACAAGTTTTGTTTAGGGTTGACAAGTTTTGTTTAGGGTTGACAAGTTTTGTTTAGAGTTGACAAGTTTTGTTTAGGGTTGACAAGTTTTGTTTAGAGTTGACAAGTTTTGTTTAGGGTTGACAAGTTTTGTTTAGAGTTGACAAGTTTTGTTTAGAGTTGACAAGTTTTGTTTAGGGTTGACAAGTTTTGTTTAGAGTTGACAAGTTTTGTTTATGGACTTAACAAAATGTTGTTGCCATTGCATTGTTTCCATACATTGAAAACTGACCAAGTATTTGGTTCTGAGATGTATTACCCCACCTGCTTTGGTTATACAAAAATTTTTCTGTTTTTGTGACCTAATATAAGTAATTTTAGAAATCTAGAATCTATTTTCTCTAAAACTATTTTCAGATTTTTTGGGATTCCCAAGCAAATTTTGCCCAGTATAAAAAGTTCCTCAGAAATCTATGGAGAACTGTTTGTCACAGCGCTACAAGGCACCAACATTTCTGGGGTAGGTCGTTAAGTTAATTGCTCATTAGAGTTTGTAACATGACATTTATTTGTTATTTCTGGGGTAGGCCGCTAAGTTAATTGCTCATTAGAGTTTGTAACATGACATTTATTTGTTATTTCTGGGGTAGGCCGCTAAGTTAATTGCTCATTAGAGTTTGTAACATGACATTTATTTGTTATTTCTGGGGTAGGCCGCTAAGTTAATTGCTCATTAGAGTTTGTGACATTCATTTGTTATTTCTGGGGTAGGCCGCTAAGTTAATTGCTCATTAGAGTTTGTAACATGACATTTATTTGTTATTTCTGGGGTAGGCCGCTAAGTTAATTGCTCATTAGAGTTTGTAACATGACATTTATTTGTTATTTCTGGGGTAGGCCGCTAAGTTAATTGCTCATTAGAGTTTGTGACATTCATTTGTTATTTCTGGGGTAGGCCGCTAAGTTAATTGCTCATTAGAGTTTGTAACATGACATTTATTTGTTATTTCTGGGGTAGGCCGCTAAGTTAATTGCTCATTAGAGTTTGTAACATGACATTCATTTGTTATTTAATGAGTCTGTATTTTCTTTGGTCAATTGTTTATTCCTGATACAGTTTTCTCCTTTGACCTAATGTGACTGCTGTGTATCCCATCCCCCACCCATCTAACCAAAGACCCCTGATGCTCCCCCCCCACCCATCTAACAAAGACCCCTGATGTCCCCCACCCATCTAACAAAGACCCCTGATGTCCCCCACACATCTAACAAAGACCCCTGATGTCCCCCCACCCATCTAACAAAGACCCCTGATGTCCCCCCCACCCATCTAACAAAGACCCCTGTTGTCCCCCCACCCATCTAACAAAGACCCCTGATGTCCCCCACCCACCCATCTAACAAAGACCCCTGATGTCCCCCCACCCATCTAACAAAGACCCCTGATGTCCCCCACCCATCTAACAAAGACCCCTGATGTCCCCCCACCCATCTAATAAAGACCCCTGTTGTCCCCCCCCCACCCATCTAACAAAGACCCCTGATGTCCCCCACCCATCTAACAAAGACCCCTGATGTCCCCCCCCACCCATCTAACAAAGACTCCTGATGTCCCCCACCCATCTAACAAAGACCCCTGATGTCCCCCCCCCACCCATCTAACAAAGACCCCTGATGTCCCCCCACCCATCTAACAAAGACCCCTGATGTCCCCCACCCATCTAACAAAGACCCCTGATGTCCCCCCACCCATCTAACAAAGACTCCTGATGTCCCCCCACCCACCCAGCTAACAAAGACCCCTGATGTCCCCCACCCATCTAACAAAGACCCCTGTTGTCCCCCCACCCATCTAACAAAGACCCCTGATGTCCCCCACCCATCTAACAAAGACCCCTGATGTCCCCCCCACCCATCTAACAAAGACCCCTGATGTCCCCCCACCCATCTAACAAAGACCCCTGATGTCCCCCCACCCACCCATCTAACAAAGACCCCTGATGTCCCCCACCCATCTAACAAAGACCCCTGATGTCCCCCCACCCATCTAACAAAGACCCCTGATGTCCCCCCACCCATCTAACAAAGACCCCTGATGTCCCCCCACCCATCTAACAAAGACCCCTGATGTCCCCCCCACCCATCTAACAAAGACCCCCTGATGTCCCCCCACCCACCCATCTAACAAAGACCCCTGATGTCCCCCCACCCATCTAACAAAGACCCCTGATGTCCCCCCACCCATCTAATAAAGACCCCTGTTGTCCCCCCCCCACCCATCTAACAAAGACCCCTGATGTCCCCCACCCATCTAACAAAGACCCCTGATGTCCCCCCACCCATCTAATAAAGACCCCTGTTGTCCCCCCCCCACCCATCTAACAAAGACCCCTGATGTCCCCCCACCCATCTAACAAAGACCCCTGATGTCCCCCCCACCCATCTAACAAAGACCCCCTGATGTCCCCCCACCCATCTAATAAAGACCCCTGATGTCCCCCCACCTATCTAACAGACCCCTGATGTCCCCCCCCCCCACCCATCTAACAGACCCCTGATGTCCCCCCACCCATCTAACAAAGACCCCTGATGTCCCCCACCCATCTAACAAAGACCCCTGATGTCCCCCCACCCATCTAATAAAGACCCCTGTTGTCCCCCCCCACCCATCTAACAAAGACCCCTGATGTCCCCCCCCACCCATCTAACAGACCCCTGATGTCCCCCCACCCATCTAACAAAGACCCCTGATGTCCCCCACCCATCTAACAAAGACCCCTGATGTCCCCCCACCCATCTAACAAAGACCCCTGATGTCCCCCCACCCATCTAATAAAGACCCCTGTTGTCCCCCCCCACCCATCTAACAAAGACCCCTGATGTCCCCCCACCCATCTAACAAACCCCTGATGTCCCCCCCACCCATCTAACAAAGACCCCTGATGTCCCCCACCCATCTAACAAAGACCCCTGATGTCCCCCCACCCATCTAATAAAGACCCCTGTTGTCCCCCCCCACCCATCTAACAAAGACCCCTGATGTCCCCCCACCCATCTAACAAACCCCTGATGTCCCCCCCACCCATCTAACAAAGACCCCTGATGTCCCCCCACCCATCTAACAAAGACCCCTGATGTCCCCCCACCCATCTAACAAAGACCCCTGATGTCCCCCCCACCCATCTAACAAAGACCCCTGATGTCCCCCCACCCATCTAACAAAGACCCCTGATGTCCCCCCACCCACCCAGCTAACAAAGACCCCTGATGTCCCCCCACCCATCTAACAAAGACCCCTGATGTCCCCCCCCACCCATCTAACAAAGACCCCTGATGTCCCCCCACCCATCTAACAAAGACCCCTGATGTCCCCCCCCCACCCATCTAACAAAGACCCCTGATGTCCCCCCACCCATCTAACAAAGACCCCTGATGTCCCCCCACCCACCCATCTAACAAAGACCCCTGATGTCCCCCCACCCATCTAACAAAGACCCCTGATGTCCCCCCACCCATCTAACAAAGACCCCTGATGTCCCCCCACCCACCCATCTAATAAAGACCCCTGTTGTCCCCCCCCACCCATCTAACAAAGACCCCTGATGTCCCCCCACCCATCTAACAAAGACCCCTGATGTCCCCCCACCCATCTAACAAAGACCCCTGATGTCCCCCCACCCACCCATCTAACAAAGACCCCCTGATGTCCCCCCACCCATCTAACAAAGACCCCTGATGTCCCCCCACCCACCCATCTAACAAAGACCCCTGATGTCCCCCACCCATCTAACAAAGACCCCTGATGTCCCCCCCACCCATCTAACAAAGACCCCTGATGTCCCCCCACCCATCTAACAAAGACCCCTGATGTCCCCCCCACCCATCTAACAAAGACCCCTGATGTCCCCCCACCCATCTAACAAAGACCCCTGATGTCCCCCCACCCATCTAACAAAGACCCCTGATGTCCCCCCACCCACCCATCTAATAAAGACCCCTGATGTCCCCCCACCCACCCATCTAACAAAGACCCCTGATGTCCCCCCCACCCATCTAACAAAGACCCCTGATGTCCCCCCACCCACCCATCTAATAAAGACCCCTGATGTCCCCCCACCCACCCATCTAACAAAGACCCCTGATGTCCCCCCCACCCATCTAACAAAGACCCCTGATGTCCCCCCACCCATCTAACAAAGACCCCTGATGTCCCCCCCACCCATCTAACAAAGACCCCTGATGTCCCCCCACCCACCCATCTAACAAAGACCCCTGATGTCCCCCCACCCATCTAACAAAGACCCCTGATGTCCCCCCACCCACCCATCTAACAAAGACCCCTGATGTCCCCCCACCCATCTAACAAAGACCCCTGATGTCCCCCCACCCATCTAATAAAGACCCCTGATGTCCCCCCCACCCATCTAACAAAGACCCCTGATGTCCCCCCACCCATCTAACAAAGACCCCTGATGTCCCCCCACCCACCCATCTAACAAAGACCCCTGATGTCCCCCCACCCACCCATCTAACAAAGACCCCTGATGTCCCCCACCCATCTAACAAAGACCCCTGATGTCCCCCACCCATCTAACAAAGACCCCTGATGTCCCCCCACCCACCCATCTAACAAAGACCCCTGATGTCCCCCACCCATCTAACAAAGACCCCTGATGTCCCCCCACCTATCTAACAAAGACCCCTGATGTCCCCCCACCCATCTAATAAAGACCCCTGTTGTCCCCCCCCACCCATCTAACAAAGACCCCTGATGTCCCCCACCCATCTAACAAAGACCCCTGATGTCCCCCCACCCATCTAATAAAGACCCCTGTTGTCCTCCCCCACCCATCTAACAAAGACCCCTGATGTCCCCCACCCATCTAACAAAGACCCCTGATGTCCCCCCACCTATCTAACAAAGACCCCTGATGTCCCCCCACCCATCTAATAAAGACCCCTGTTGTCCCCCCCCACCCATCTAACAAAGACCCCTGATGTCCCCCACCCATCTAACAAAGACCCCTGATGTCCCCCCACCCATCTAATAAAGACCCCTGTTGTCCCCCCCCACCCATCTAACAAAGACCCCTGATGTCCCCCACCCATCTAACAAAGACCCCTGATGTCCCCCCACCTATCTAACAAAGACCCCTGATGTCCCCCCACCCATCTAATAAAGACCCCTGTTGTCCCCCCCCACCCATCTAACAAAGACCCCTGATGTCCCCCACCCATCTAACAAAGACCCCTGATGTCCCCCCACCCATCTAATAAAGACCCCTGTTGTCCCCCCCACCCATCTAACAAAGACCCCTGATGTCCCCCCCACCCATCTAACAAAGACCCCTGATGTCCCCCCCACCCATCTAACAAAGACCCCTGATGTCCCCCCACCCACCCATCTAACAAAGACCCCTGATGTCCCCCACCCATCTAACAAAGACCCCTGATGCCCCCCACCCATCTAACAAAGACCCCTGATGTCCTCCCCACCCATCTAACAAAGACCCCTGTCTCTCAGATACTAGGTGACCAGCAAGCTGCCCTGGTGGGACAGAGCTGTTTTCAAGTGGGTCAGGCCAAGAACACCTACGGCACCGGCTGTTTCCTTCTGTACAACACAGGTCTCACTGTAAGTCACTGAAGGTCTCACTGTAGGTCTCACTGTAATTCACTGAAGGTCTCACTTTAGGTCTCACTGTTAGTCATTGAAGGTCTCACTGTAGGTCACTGAAGGTCTCACTGTAGTTCACTGAAGGTCTCACTGTAGGTCTCACTGTAATTCACTGAAGGTCTCACTTTAGGTCTCACTGTAAGTCATTGAAGGTCTCACTGTAGGTCACTGAAGGTCTCACTGTAATTCACTGAAGGTCTCACTTTAGGTCTCACTGTAGGTCTCACTGAAGGTCTCACTGTAATTCACTGAAGGTCTCACTGAAGGTCTCACTGTAATTCACTGAAGGTCTCACTGTAGTTCACTGAAGGTCTCACTTTAGGTCTCACTGAAGGTCTCACTGAAGGTCTCACTGTAATTCACTGAAGGTCTCACTTTAGGTCTCACTGAAGGTCTCACTGTAATTCACTGAAGGTCTCACTTTAGGTCTCACTGTAGGTCTCACTGAAGGTCTCACTGTAATTCACTGAAGGTCTCACTTTAGGTCACTGTTGGTCTCACTGTAAGTCACACAAATTTCGATGAAAAAAATTGACTGCTGTTTCTATTTGCGCAGCCTGTTGAGTCCAAGACTGGGCTGTTGACCACGGTGGCCTACAAACTTGGCAAAAATAAACCTGCGGTCTACGCACTAGAGGTCAGTGATGGTCTTCTATGTCAGATTTAGGCAGTGTGTATAGCATATAGCAGCCCTATGTGACAATATGTATAAATGTTGTGAAAGGGTGCTAGTGCTAACACATATTGTGACAAGACGCTGGTGCTAACACATGTTATGATAGGGTGCTGGTGCTAACACATGTTGTGACAGGGTGCTAGTGCTAACACATGTTGTGACAGGGTGCTAGTGCTAACACATGTGACAGGGTGCTAGTGCTAACACATGTTATGACAGGGTGCTGGTGCTAACACATGTTATGACAGGGTGCTAGTGCTAACACATGTTGTGACAGGGTGCTAGTGCTAACACATGTGACAGGGTGCTGGTGCTAACACATGTTATGACAGGGTGCTGGTGCTAACACATGTTATGACAGACTGCTGGTGCTAACACATGTTGTGACAGACTGCTAGTGCTAACACATATTGTGACAGGGTGCTAGTGCTAACACATGTTATGACAGGGTGCTGGTGCTAACACATGTTATGACAGGGTGCTAGTGCTAACACATATTGTGACAGACTGCTAGTGCTAACACATATTGTGACAGGGTGCTAGTGCTAACACATATTGTGACAGGGTGCTGGTGCTAACACATGTTATGACAGGGTGCTGGTGCTAACACATGTTATGACAGGGTGCTAGTGCTAACACATGTTATGACAGACTGCTGGTGCTAACACATGTTGTGACAGGGTGCTAGTGCTAACACATGTTTTGACAGGGTGCTGGTGCTAACACATGTTATGACAGGGTGCTGGTGCTAACACATGTTATGACAGGGTGCTAGTGCTAACACATGTTATGACAGACTGCTGGTGCTAACACATGTTGTGACAGGGTGCTAGTGCTAACACATGTTTTGACAGGGTGCTGGTGCTAACACATGTTATGATAGGGTGCTGGTGCTAACACATGTTTTGACAGACTGCTGGTGCTAACACATGTTGTGACAGGGTGCTAGTGCTAACACATGTTTTGACAGGGTGCTAGTGCTAACACATATTGTGACAGGGTGCTAGTGCTAACACATGTTTTCTTCTGACAGGGTGCTATAGCTATTGCTGGAGCTTGTATAGCCTGGCTAAGGGACAACCTTGGCATCATAGCGTCCTCTTCTGAGATAGGTATGTGTCTTCTACCAACCTACCTGCGCTGATGTTGTACGTGTCTTCTACATCCAACCTACCTGTGCTGATGTTGTACGTGTCTTCTACATCCAACCTACCTGTGCTGATGTTGTACGTGTCTTCTACATACAACCTACCTGTGCTGATGTTGTATGTGTCTTCTACATCCAACCTACCTGTGCTGATGTTGTACGTGTCTTCTACATCCAACCTACCTGTGCTGATGTTGTACGTGTCTTCTACCAACCTACCTGTGCTGATGTTGTATGTGTCTTCTACATCCAACCTACCTGTGCTGATGTTGTATGTGTCTTCTACCAACCTACCTTTGCTGTACTAATGCTGTACCTGTACTAATGCTGTCAACTGATTTATTTTGTAGAAAAACTTGCGTCAGAGGTGGACAGTGTCCATGGTTGTTATTTTGTGCCAGCTTTCTCTGGGCTGTTTTGTCCATACTGGCAGAATGACGCTAGAGGGTAAGTACCTGGCAATAGTTACAGTCATGACATATGTCAATCACTGTCATGACATATGTCAATCACTGTCATGACATATGTCAATCACTGTCATGACTTAAGTCAGCCACTGTCATGACATGTTAATCACTGTCATGACATATGTCAGTCACTACCACGACATATGTCAATCACTGTCATGACATGTCAGTCAGTGTCATGACATGGCAGTCAATGACATGTCATATGTTAGTCACTGTCAAACATTGACATGCCAAATGCTAGTGATTCCATCAAGTGTAGACAATTCCATTAATGAAAGTATCCCCCCCCCCCCCCAGGATTGTGTGCGGCCTGACACAGTTTACCAACAAAAGTCACATCGCAAGAGCTGCCCTAGAGGCTGTCTGCTTCCAGACCAGAGAGGTCAGTCAATCACTCACCTGTGTAGGTCAGTCAATCACTCATCTGTGTAGGTCAGTCACTCACTCACCTGTGTAGGTCAGTCAATCACTCACCTGTGTAGGTCAGTCAATCACTCACCTGTGTAGGTCAGTCAATCACTCACCTGTGTAGGTCAGTCAATCACTCACCTGTGTAGGTCAGTCAATCACTCACCTGTGTAGGTCAGTCAATCACTCACCTGTGTAGGTCAGTCAATCACTCACCTGTGTAGGTCAGTCAATCACTCACCTGTGTAGGTCAGTCAATCACTCACCTGTGTAGGTCAGTCAATCACTCACCTGTGTAGGTCAGTCACTCACTCACCTGTGAAGGTCAGTCAATCACTCACCTGTGTATTGTGTAGGTCAGTCAATCACTCACCTGTGTATTGTGTAGGTCAGTCAATCACTCACCTGTGTAGGTCAGTCAATCACTCACCTGTGTAGGTCAGTCAATCACTCACCTGTGTAGGTCAGTCAATCACTCACCTGTTCCCACTGCTCTGATTGTTTACATTTTCCTGACCTTTTGTTGACCTTTAGTTGTTGGATGCCATGAACACAGACAGTGGCCTTGAACTTTCCAGTGTCAAGGTCGATGGTGGGATGACAGCCAACTCGCTGCTGATGCAGATCCAGGCAGATCTTATTGGGATACCAGTGGGTGAGCACCTTATCTCGGGGGGGGGGGGGGGTATGGGAGTTCAATGGGTACAAATGTTATCATAGGGGGTGGTAAGTGGTATTTTGGGAGGGGGGGGGGGGGCTATGAATTGAAAAATATACACAATATGTACATATGAAATAATCAAAGGACCCCTACCAAAAACGCCACTTAATCACCTGTGATAACTTTTTTCGTCCTTGAACCCTAACCTCTCATGCCCTTGAACCCTAACCTCTCATGCCCTTGAACTCTTACCTCTCATGCCCTCTAACCCTAACCTCTCATGCCCTTGAACCCTAACCTCTTATGCCCTTGAACCCTAACCTCTCATGCCCTTGAACCCTAACCTCTCATGCCCTTGAACCCTAACCTCTCATGCCCTTGAACTCTTACCTCTCATGCCCTCTAACCCTAACCTCTCATGCCCTTGAACCCTAACCTCTCATGCCCTTGAACCCTAACCTCTCATGCCCTTGAACCCTAACCTCTCATGCCCTTGAACTCTTACCTCTCATGCCCTCTAACCCTAACCTCTCATGCCCTTGAACCCTTAACCTCTTATGCCCTTGAACTCTAACCTCCGCTGTCCCCCTCTTGCAGTCAGACCCTCCATGACGGAGACGACAGCCCTGGGTGCGGCCATGGTGGCCGGGGCAGCTGAAGGGGTGGAGGTGTGGACCAGGCTGGGTGGGGACAAGGCTCCACCCATCACATGTGACGTCTTTGAGCCGTCAATCACTGCCCGAGGTTTGTCTGACTTTAGTCTGTAAGGGGGTGGGGGGGGGAGTTGTCTGACTTTAGACTGTAAGGGGGAGGGGAGTTTTCTGACTTAAGTCAGGATTTAATTAGGTAATGTGCAAATGTTTTTAAAATTGTATTCAGAGCGTTCGGAGCGTCTGGCGCGGTGGAAGGGAGCGGTCAACCGTAGCATGCATTGGGACACAGCGGGACACGCACCACGTAAGTCTTTACATAGGTTGTATGGGCTTTATGTAGGTTGTATGGGCTTTATGTAGGTTGTATGGGCTTTATGTAGGTTGTATGGGCTTTATGTAGGTTGTATGGGCTTTATGTAGGTTGTATGGGCTTTATGTAGGTTGTATGGGCTTTATGTAGGTTGTATGGGCTTTATGTAGGTTGTATGGGCTTTACGTAGGTTGTATGGGCTTTATGTAGGTTGTATGGGCTTTATGTAGGTTGTATGGGCTTTATGTAGGTTGTATGGGCTTTACATAGGTTGTATGGGCTTTATGTAGGTTGTATGGGCTTTACATAGGTTGTATGGGCTTTACATAGGTTGTATGGGCTTTATGTAGGTTGTAGGGGTTAGGGTAGAGCTTGACATGCATGGCCAGATGCTTTTGTTTCTGTGTAGATGATTGGATAGCTGACTGGATAGCTAGCTGACTGATTGAATGGCTGACTGACTGGCTGTCTTGTTAAGTTGCTACTATGATAAACACTTGTGTCTAAAACACTGTCAAAAATATGTAAATATTTTTTTCAAAACCATTCAGGTTAGATTTACTAAGAAATGTATCAAATGTATAACCTTGACCTTTATGTAGGTGTGTCCGGCGACCTCTGGGACGTGCTGGCCCCTGGGTTGTACCTGTGGCTCAGCTTTGGTTTCCTGATTGCCTCCCATGTTATCAGCAAGAGGTGACAGGGGAGATGACCTAGCTGTAGTGTTGCTTGTTGTTGCTTGTTGATGCCTCAAGATTTCCTATCCCACCATGGATGTCTGGTTTGTGATGTCACTGATGTTAACACTTGAGGTAGATTTAAGAGTCAGCTTCTGACATTAGTAGATGTATCTGGTGACATTTAGTTCTGACAGTTTGGTTTGACAGTTTCTTGTGACAAGTTCATTGTGACAGTTTTTTTGACAAGTTCATTGTGACAGTTTGTTGTGACAGTTTATTGTGACAGTTTGTTGTGACAGTTTATTGTGACAGTTTATTGTGACAAGTTCGTTGTGACAGTTTGTTGTGACAAGTTCATTGTGACAGTTTGTTGTGACAGTTTATTGTGACAGTTTATTGTGACAAGTTCGTTGTGACATTTTGTTGTGACAGTTTATTGTGACAGTTTATTGTGACAGTTTATTGTGACAGTTTATTGTGACAAGTTCGTTGTGACAGTTTGTTGTGACAAGTTCGTTGTGACAGTTTGTTGTGACAAGTTCATTGTGACAGTTTGTTGTGACAAGTTCATTGTGACAGTTTGTTGTGACGGTTTATTGTGACAGTTTGTTGTGACAGTTTGTTGTGACAGTTTGTTGTGACAAGTTCGTTGTGACAGTTTGTTGTGACAAGTTCCTTGTGACAGTTTGTGACAGTTTATTGTGACAGTTTATTGTGACAGTTTATTGTGACAGTTTGTTGTGACAGTTTATTGTGACAGTTTATTGTGACAAGTTCGTTGTGACAGTTTGTTGTGACAGTTTATTGTGACAGTTTGTTGTGACAGTTTATTGTGACAAGTTCGTTGTGACAAGTTCGTTGTGACAGTTTGTTGTGACAAGTTCGTTGTGACAGTTTGTTGTGACAAGTTCATTGTGACAGTTTGTTGTGACAAGTTCATTGTGACAGTTTATTGTGACAGTTTGTTGTGACAGTTTATTGTGACAGTTTGTTGTGACAGTTTGTTGTGACAGTTTGTTGTGACAGTTTGTTGTGACAAGTTCGTTGTGACAAGTTCGTTGTGACAAGTTCATTGTGACAGTTTATTGTGACAGTTTATTGTGACAGTTTATTGTGACAAGTTCATTGTGACAGTTTGTTGTGACAGTTTATTGTGACAGTTTGTTGTGACAGTTTATTGTGACAGTTTGTTGTGACAAGTTCGTTGTGACAGTTTGTTGAGACAAGTTCGTTGTGACAGTTTGTTGTGACAAGTTCATTGTGACAGTTTGTTGTGACAAGTTCATTGTGACAGTTTATTGTGACAGTTTGTTGTGACAGTTTATTGTGACAGTTTGTTGTGACAGTTTGTTGTGACAGTTTGTTGTGACAGTTTGTTGTGACAGTTTGTTGTGACAAGTTCGTTGTGACAGTTTGTTGTGACAAGTTCATTGTGACAGTTTATTGTGACAAGTTCATTGTTACAGTTTGATGTGACAAGTTCATTGTGACAGTTTGTTGTGACAGTTTGTTGTGACAGTTTGTTGTGACAGTTTGTTGTAACAGTTTGTTGTGACAGTTTGTTGTGACAGTTTGTTGTGACAAATGATGTGGTGACATAATGTGATGTACTCTGACCTTTGTAGCTGTAGGGATTGGACAGTCAGGCCTTTAAAACTATTTAGTGTAACAGATGAGAGTACTATTTAGTGTAACAGATGAGAGTAGTGTAACAGATGAGAGTAGTGTAACAGATGAGAGTAGTGTAACAGATGAGAGTAGTGTAACAGATGAGAGTAGTGTAACAGATGAGAGTAGTGTAAGAGATGAGAGTAGTGTAACAGATGAGAGTAGTGTAACAGATGAGAGTAGTGTAACAGATGAGAGTAGTGTAACAGATGAGAGTAGTGTAACACATGAGAGTAGTGTAAGAGATCTGGCTTTCAATGTTGGCTGACTGAAGAATGAACTGAAGCTCAGGCTAGAATGGAGCTGCTTTTTTTTTTGTCTTCAATATTTGACCACATTGTGTCTTTCTTTCTGATCCCTGTCGTGTCGTTTGGTCAAATGACAATGTCATCTGACATCACATGACACTGTCAGCTGACGTCAAATGATAGTGTCAGCTGATGTGACATTAATATCACACTGGTGTGACACTTGTACTTTAGTGCTTGTGTCACATGTTGACCAAAGGTCATTTAGAGGTTGTGTTGTTGCCATGGAAACAGTCAGTTAAACACGATTCCATGTATTCATCTTTTTTTGCCATCACACATTTATGTTGGATATTTGCCACAAAAAATGTCATTAAAATGTCATTAAAATGTCATTAAAATGTCACAATTCAACCATACCTGTTGCTAGTGACTTGCATTAATTTTTTTTTTTTTTTTGGAAGCTCAAAGTAAAATATTGTTAGATTACCAAAACAATTGTAACATTGTTACACGATCAATAATTCTATCATCACTTGAATACTACTCACACTGCCTCCAACACTACCACCCCCCCCCCCACCTCACTCCCACTGTCTCCCACCCTGCTCCCCCCCACACTACCTCCCACACTACCCCACCCACACTACCACCCTACTCACACTGTCTCCCACAATACCACCCCCACCTCACTCCCACTGCCTCCCACACTACCCCCCACACTACCACACGACCACCCACACCCCCAGCCCACACAAACACTACCCCCTCACCCTACTCACACTACCCCCCCACACTACCCCCCCCCTCACCCTACTCACACTACCCCCCCACACTCCCACCCCACTCACACTACCCCCCACACTCCCACCCCACTCACACTAACTCCCACACTACCCCCCCCCCCTCACCCTACTCACACTACCCCCCACACTCCCACCCCACTCACACTACCCCCCACACTCCCACCCCACTCACACTAACTCCCACACTACCCCCCCCCCCTCACCCTACTCACACTACCCCCCCACACTCCCACCCCACTCACACTACCCCCCACACTCCCACCCCACTCACACTAACTCCCATACTGCCCCCCCCCCCCACACTCCCACCTCATCACACTACCACCCACACTCTCAGCCCACACAAACACCCACATGTTTGACCTGAGCATCAAACACACTGAATCAGGTGTAGATACTTGGCATGTGGAGGGTTTTTAATACCCAACATTTATTCAGTCAAATAATATAATTTCTGGACTTAAATAATAATGTCTAATAATTTAATTTCTACGGTTTAATTTATAGACTTGTACACAAATTTAATCACATGAAATAAAAAAAGTCTGTATTAGGGATAACTCTTCCTGTCTGAAATTTTAATAGATAATACCTGAGTTACCTGCCTTAGATAAATCATACGCAGTTTCTGATTGTTGTGATTTGTTTTCATTCGATTTTTTCTGCTCTCATTTGATTTTAACGCTTGGAAATAGTTTTTATATAAAGGCCAAAATCTGATTGTAATTGATTACTCTTGGACCATGAATGTATTTTTTAAAAATGTCTTTTACATATATCATTCCATTATGAACATGGTCGTTGGTTCGTCAATCACTGTGTATTGACATTGTCCATTTATTTGTGCCATTCCTAGTCCAGAACTTGACACAGAATTTCTTCTGACCTTGTAACTAGACGTGTTAACTACAGCTCAAGTCTTTTTCAGTGTGCTACACATGTCTTTGTTGGATGTGTTTGTGTTGGGGTGTGTGTTTGTGTGTCTGTGTGTTGGTTGTGTGTGTGTGTTGGGGGGTGTGTATATGGCACTTAAGTACAACACATATTTTATTTTGGTCACATCTCAGTCGATCTGATAGAAGCAATAAACAATTTATTCACTTGAGTGTTGTTTGTTTGTAGGAATAGATGTCCTTTGTTTTTGGATAAAGATGTTTTTTGTTTTTAGATACAACGAAAATCTTCTTAAATCATACAGTTGTTACTAATTTTATTTATCCAGCATTAATTCTATTGTTTTAAAGTGTTCGGTTTTTGATGTTATGTCTGCTGCCATATTTTAAAAATCTGTTTAAAATTTTGACGGAATTGACAGAATGAGTTGTTTTAGTATTTCCGGCAACTAAACATAATTTTAAACAGAAAGTGAAAACAATTTGTTTGTTTACATTTTGTTTCACAAAATGGCCACACAAAACAATTAGGTTTAAAATTTGTATCAATTAAAAAATTTTCTTTATGAAGTGGGGTTTTCAGGAAAATCGATCACGGAGTTCTTTACAGCCAATCAATGTTTGTCTTGCGAAAGTGAAACTTCATGTTATAACTTAGGCTTGATGAAAAAAAAAAATTCATAAAAAACGTTTTAATAACAAGCTTTTATGTAATGATGCACTAAAAAGTAGAAAATAAATTATAGACTACTATTTAAATAACTATAAAGAAAAGCGTGGGTCACTTTAGTATCTATTGGATACCTTTACTAATGTTAAGGAAGACACCCACGCTTTTCTTTATAGTTATTTAAATAGTAGTCTATAATTTATTTTCTACTTTTTAGTGCATCATTACATAAAAGCTTGTTATTAAAACGTTTTTTATGAATTTTTTTTCAGTACTTTACATGTTTTATTTACAATAGAGTTACATGACTAAAAACCATTGCGCGCCTACTGAACATCACGCTCAGTAGGCGCGCAATGGTTTTTGAACGCAGCCATTACGTGATGGCGCAGCTATTGAAGGTGATGACGCGTGTGGTGTGGTTGGCTAGACATGCCTTCTAATTCGGTCCAAATTTTAATTAATTCATAAAAAATTAATTAGGTTTCATATTGCATTGTCTTCATGTCTTGACCCACGTGCCAACTGTGAATCGTATCGGTCAAGTAGAACTGTCCGAATTTTCACTCCTACGTTTCTATCTAGACTGACGACAGACTGTCGACAGACAGAGGAAGTGAGTTAAATAAAAGCTTGTAATAAATAGAAATGTAGCCTTAAACTAAAAAGATTGTTTTCAAGTTCTTTGGATTTGTAACTTTATAACCATCATTCTAAAACAAAACTATTTAAGTTCTGAATAATTTTCAGACATTTAAAAATATTTTTTTTATGGCCGCTCTGATAGCAAATTCTATATTAAAACAACAATAAAAACATGACTTGTATCCATGTCAAGAAAAATGATGGAAGCACTATCTCGCCCGCCTCTATCTGGACATTGACGTACCTGATCTTATAAAATATGGCGGAAGGTTGGCGTTTCTGATCTTATGTAATATGGCGGAAGGTTGGCGTTCCTGATCTTATAAAATATGGCGGAAGGTTGGCGTTCCTGTTCTTATAAAATATATATTTAAAAAACCAGACCCTCTCCCCCCCCCCCTCCCACCGAAGCGTATCAACCCATTCTGGCGCCCGTGGTAACTGCCAAATTACGTCCGCACATTTCCATATACATATATACATGTTGAAAAAAAAAGGCCCCACCCCCAATATGGAAAGTTCGGGGCGCCCTGTACTAATGACAGCACCCTAACAGTTTGTGATACAATATCATACGCCTCCCAATAGTCTCACACCGTCCCAACCCCGTTTGGTGCCCACCCCTCCCCACCCCCTAAGATCGGAGGCGGACCCCTCGCCATCTCACACAATTCGTCATTTATGGACCATCTCATAGACCATTTTAAACAACAACTAAATGGTATCATTTATTTAACAATATTCTTGATGTTTTTCTTGAGTTTATTACATTTTTTGTACGGTTGTAAAGTTGAGTTTATTACAGTTTTTGTACGGTTCTAAAGTCTATAAAGAGGAAATGCTAAAAATATCTTGTGATGAATCACTTCCGGTGTAGTCAGGTTGTGTGGTTGTCGTCAGGCTGGAAGGGTTGGGTTTAGACAGGCGCTCTACAACAGAAGGGTTGGGTTTAGACAGGCGCTCTACAACAGAAGGGTTGGGTTTAATGCGCTCTACAACAGAAGGGTTGGGTTTAGACATGCGCTGTACAACAGAAGGGTTGGGTTTAATGCGCTCTACAACAGAAGGGTTGGGTTTAGACAGGCGCTCTACAACAGAAGGGTTGGGTTTAGACAGGCGCTCTACAATAGAAGGGTTGGGTTTAGACAGGCGCTCTACAACAGAAGGGTTGGGTTTAGACAGGCGCTCTACAACAGAAACAAACACCGGATGTAACTAACTTCACAGGTCACATGAATACATTATCTAGGTCATTGTACTGGTCGTCAGCATGAGTAACCTTTAACCTACAGTTGTGGTGACCTTAACCTATAGTTGTGGTGACCTTAACCTACAGTTGTGGTGACCTTAACCTACAGTTGTGGTGACCTTAACCTACAGTTGTGGTGACCTTAACCTACAGTTGTGGTGACCTTAACCTAAAGTTGTGGTGACCTTAACCTACAGTTGTGATGACCTTAACCTACAGTTGTGGTGACCTTAACCTACAGTTGTGGTGACCTTAACCTACAGTTGTGGTGACCTTAACCTAAAGTTGTGGTGACCTTAACCTACAGTTGTGGTGACCTTAACCTAAAGTTGTGGTGACCTTAACCTACAGTTGTGGTGACCTTAACCTACAGTTGTGGTGACCTTAACCTACAGTTGTGGTGACCTTAACCTACAGTTGTAGTGACCTTAACCTACAGTTTGGTGACCTTAACCTACAGTTGTGGTGACCTTAACCTACAGTTGTGGTGACCTTAACCTACAGTTGTGGTGACCTTAATCTACAGTTGTGGTGACCTTAACCTACAGTTGTGGTGACCTTAACCTACAGTTGTGGTGACCTTAACCTACAGTTGTGTGACCTTAACCTACAGTTGTGGTGACCTTAACCTACAGTTGTGGTGACCTTAACCTACAGTTGTGGTGACCTTAACCTACAGTTGTAGTGACCTTAACCTACAGTTTGGTGACCTTAACCTACAGTTGTGGTGACCTTAACCTACAGTTGTGATGACCTTAACCTACAGTTGTGGTGACCTTAACCTACAGTTGTGGTGACCTTAACTTACAGTTGTGGTGACCTTAACCTACAGTTGTACCGTCATGTGACACTAACAGACAGTCACGTGACAACTGACAACCAATGAGAAGCTTCCACTCACTTTGAACTATGATGACCCTTAACCCCGAGCAATCAAAAATGGTCGCGTCACGCAGCTGATCCTGCGTCACCGCCTCCTGACTCGGCAAAGAAAGAAAAGGTAACATCGTAATTTTTTTTAGAAATTATACTTATGTGTGTGTGTTACTTAGACAGTTAACTTCTTGCTTACAAACGGACAACAACAATTATTGAATGAATGTAAAACGTTTACTTACATTGACCTCCTCCACGATTGGCTGATAAAAATAGAATAACATTTACGTTAGTTTATGTACAAGTTGTGGCTGAAATCTATTTTTAAACCTAACGTCCGATCAGATGACAACACAAACAACTCAGGGCAACCAGGGGGGGGGGGGGGCAAGTTTTTAAAGTGGTAACCCGACATTGGGGAGCCAAGTTTTAACTTGTATGTCAAACACTCAAATTGTGTATGTTGACATGGCGACAAGTCAGATCAACAACGCTAGGGTCGTGTAGACCAGGGCCGATTGATTGACTCAAAGTTGAGTGAGCTCCTTCCCGACTAGATGGGACACATTGCCACAAGCAAGTGGGGAACAGAGGCGTAGCGACCCTTCCCGGCGCCCGGGGACACACTTTTCGATTTGCACCTCCACCCCCCTCGAGATTTCGATTTGGAACCCCCCCCCCCCCCCTTGAGATTTCGATTTGCACCCCCCCCCCCCTCAAACTTTCAATTTGCACCCCCTCAACCTTTCAATTTATTTTTCCAACCCATTTTGGCGCCCCCTAAGGTCGGCGCCCGGGGACATATGTCCCCCCCCCCCCCCCGCCCCCCCCCCCCCCCTTCGCTACGCTACTGGTGGGGAAGGGTTGTGTGCCGTCCAGGTTGTCTCAACTGACCTTGACATCCCCCCTGAAGACGACGAAGTTCAAGGTGACGAAGGCGAGGAACCTGATGAGGTGGTATGTGACCTTGGCGAGCGCCACGGTCAAGACGAAGCTGGAGAGGATGAAACAGTGCAAGGTCAGACCAACGATCTGGTCAGAGGTCGCACTTCCGGTTGTCACGCGGGGCCAGGGCGGGAGGAATGGCTCGATGCTGGGGACAGACGACATCAGGTGCAGGGGTGGGGCAGACGACATCAGGTGCAGGGGTGGGGCAGACGACATCAGGGGTGGGGCAGACGACATCAGGTGCAGGGGTGGGACAGACGACATCAGGTGCAGGGGTGGGGCAGACGACATCAGGTGCAGGGGTGGGGCAGACGACATCAGGTGCAAGGGTGGGACAGACGACATCAGGCGCAGGGATGGGGCAGACGACATCAGGTGCAGGGGTGGGACAGACGACATCAGGTGCAGGGGTGGGGCAGACGACATCAGGTGCAGGGGTGGGGCAGACGACATCAGGGGTAGACGACATCAGGTGCAGGGGTGGGGCAGACGACATCAGGGGTGGGGCAGACGACATCAGGGGTGGGGCAGACGACATCAGGTGCAGGGGTGGGGCAGACGACATCAGGTGCAGGGGTGGGGCAGACGACATCAGGTGCAGGGGTGGGGCAGACGACATCAGGTATAGGTGTGGGACAGACGACATCAGGTGCAGGGGTGGGGCAGACGACATCAGGGGTGGGGCAGACGACATCAGGGGTGGGGCAGACGACATCAGGGGTGGGACAGACGACATCAGGTGCAGGGGTGGGACAGACGACATCAGGGGTGGGGCAGACGACATCAGGTGCAAGGGTGGGGCAGACGACATCAGGTGCAGGGGTGGGGCAGACGACATCAGGTGCAGGGGTGGGGCAGACGACATCAGGTGCAGGGGTGGGGCAGACGACATCAGGTGCAGGGGTGGGGCAGACGACATCAGGGGTGGGGGTGGGACAGACGACATCAGGGGTGGGACAGACGACATCAGGTGCAGGGGTGGGGCAGACGACATCAGGTGCAGGGGTGGGGCAGACGACATCAGGGGTGGGGGTGGGACAGACGACATCAGGGGTGGGACAGACGACATCAGGTGCAGGGGTGGGGCAGACGACATCAGGTGCAGGGGTGGGGCAGACGACATCAGGTGCAGGGGTGGGGCAGACGACATCAGGTATAGGTGTGGAACAGACGACATCAGGTGCAGGGGTGGGACAGACGACATCAGGGGCAGGGGTGGGGTAGACGACATCAGGTGCAGGGGTGGGGCAGACGACATCAGGGGTGGGGCAGACGACATCAGGGGTGGGGCAGACGACATCAGGTGTAGGGGTGGGACAGACGACATCAGGTGCAGGGGTGGGGCAGACGACATCAGGTGCAGGGGTGGGGCAGACGACATCAGGGGTGGGGTAGACGACATCAGGTGCAGGGGTGGGGCAGACGACATCAGGGGTGGGGCAGACGACATCAGGGGTGGGGCAGACGACATCAGGTGCAGCGGTGGGGCAGACGACATCAGGTGGGACAAGGTATCCTTAAACTGACAGTGTGGCAAATTCTGATACTGACAGCTGATGTAGTTATTGATGGCGTTTAATGGCGTGCAGGTATAATGACTCATTTAACGGGTTCGTCAATAAACGACGTCACTCCCAGGGGACGGGGTAAGGGTCGTATTTTTGTGAAGATGTATGATGTATGTTTATCAATAAACTTTATCTTGGCCTAGATTCGTCAATATTTTAGAAATAAATCGATGTTTACAAAATTTAAACTGCTATTTTGAGGGGGTTGTAGGTTGAGGTCTATCGTCATATTAGGAGGGGAGGGCTGGTTGTTTTGACGTGTGAGGGTGGAGAGTGGGGTAGATGATAATTTCAAGTCGCCCCACCTCCCTTGTGAGTTGAAAGAAACAGTCGTTGAAAGGCTGAGAGCCCCTTACATTTTCCAGTGTAGAGCCGACTTGAGCTTGTCCCGTAGGTTGTAAACTCTGGCGTCTTCCACGCTGATACAGTCCATCAAATTCTCAGCCATCAAGTGCATGCTGGCACAGAGGTGCACTACAGCTGGTGTAAGAGAGGTGCACTGGAGCTTAAGTAAACATTAGAGATGTGCACTGGAGCTTAAGTAAACATTAGAGATGTGCACTGGAGCTTAAGTAAACATTAGAGATGTGCACTGGAGCTTAAGTAAACATTAGAGATGTGTACTGGAGCTTAAGTAAACATTAGAGATGTGTACTGGAGCTTAAGTAAACATTAGAGATGTGCACTGGAGCTTAGTAAACATTAGAGATGTGCACTGGAGCTTGAGTAAAGATTAAGATGTGCACTGGAGCTTAAGTAAACATACAGGTAGAGATGTGCGCTAGATCTAGAGCTTAAAAGTAAACATACAGGCAGAGATGTGCGCTAGAGCTTAAGTAAACAAATCACACTCCGCTATGTAAACACGAATATCTAGACTTTGTTTTCTCTCAACCCATTTAACATCCGGGTCTCAAGCTAGAGTCTCGACATAAACGCAAATAGAAACAAATTTTGATTACGTCATTTAAACCTTTGGAAAATTGACACCTTAAGTCTTAGCCTCCCAATGCCAATAATGTAAACATGGGGGGGGGGGGGGGGTGTTAGCAACCCCACAATGACAGTTGTCCCATAAAATACCCTCGCCCATGACCAACTTCAACCTTATACCAGCATCATCTAGCTAGATAGACCTCCCACAACATTTATTGTCTTGCCGTGCCCTGAAAACTTAAATTACTTTACCGTGCGCGGCTGCTTCTTCGTTCTTACGTGTAATGATGGCGGTGATTTGATCCACTACAACTTACGTGTCATGGAGGTGATTTCATCCAACATAATTTAACATTACGTGTCATGGAGGTGATTTCATCCAACATAATTTAACATTACTTGTCATGGAGGTGATTTCATCCAACATAATTTAACATAACGTGTCAACATGTTATGCGCCTTATGGCCCGTTGACTCAGCCTGCTTTTCTTTCTGGATTAGGCTCCGTAGCCTTTGTCTACCCAAGGCATCAGTCGGCAAGAGATCTTCCCCCGAAGATGGGTTGTTTCCCCCCCCCCCCCCCCCCCCCCCCGCTAACGATTTCGACTGTCCGGGGTTTGAACTCGGGACTTGAGTAGTTAGCAATCAAACGCTCAACTGCACGACCCCACACCGTCATGTTTCGATTTAGATTAAAATTATCTATGCATTTTTACTTTCTCGTATATACAAGTATAGAGAAAGTATTGTAATCGTGTAAAAAAAAATCGAGATTTTTGCAAATATCGACGTTTTACACCTCCCTGAGTCGGAAAAACATAGTTTTGCAATCTCGTCCGTATGTTTGTGTGTATGTGTAAACACGATAACTTGACTACCGTTACAGCTAGGTAGATGAAATTTCATATAAAAGTAGGTAGTCCAAACTGGCGAAAAAGTGCGTTTTAGGGTCAGTTTTTGCGGTTTTCAAAAAAAAAATTTCACTACTTCTAGTTGTCCTATAAGAATAAAAATTATATGTCAATAACGTTTAAGTCTTTATCTGTCGTAATCTGGTATTTTTATATCTGTAACACATGTTTGAATGTGTTTTATATTTGTTTGAAAAGTATCAGTTACGTCAACAAATTTCACCGTTTTGCGAGTACCGATCGACCCCACACTGTTTCATTTGGTTGCGGCTTCGCGACGAAGCATCGTAGAAGCATAATCTTAATGTCATTTTAAAGAGCGAATTCTAGTCTATCGTTTGATATATAAATTGAAAAAATAACTTGCTTATTTCATTTTAAAAAATCAGTTTTTTAAATTTAAATGACGATATATACACGAAAACAAACTAATTCTGTTTCAATTTTTACACCGATGTAAAGTTCACTTTTATAACTACTTTGTGTTGTAAATTCAAGTATTTCTGATTTACCGTCGCGAAGCCGTGCCCTCATCAAGCATATAACCATCGAGTCAACTTTCAGCCCCGAATTAGTAGCTCGCCGAACGGTTTTAAAGGTTGACGACCGATGATGCTAAACGGATTTTACCCTTGCTAGAGCCTTCAAACAAGTTGTAAGTATCATTTTTAAAGTTTCATTTCCATTTTAATAAATGAATTTTAAGTTTGAATGTCAGTTTGGTTTAATTAGTACACGTTATTAATGTAAATTTGAACGCTACTTGTCCACGGTTTTAGCGTGTGAACTACGCTTGTACACAGGGTGTGTTTAGACGTGAAGCTATTTAATTCAGGACATTCTAGGGACTTAAAATATGGATGCACTTAACTATTAGATGCTAGTGTTTACTAATTCTTAAAATCTATCTAATGGGATTAATGATAGGGTCGTATTACTACAGTTTATCTGGACTATCACGTCGAAATTATGAATCGACAAATTCAAAATGGCCACCAGACAATCCTGGTTACTATGTGGACGAACTCAATTATTTACAGGGAACGAAGGTTAAATACTTATAAAATATTAATGAAACACAAAAGAAATTTATAATTAAAATAACTCTACATTTTTATTAATTTATTTAAAACAAAAGACACTAATTTTTAAGGACTAATGTGATTAATTTTTTTATTTTCTGTTGTGCACTCTGATTCCCCTGCTGAATAATGTGAAATGGTCTGCGCCAGTCTCCTTAATAAAATGTACCAGATCAATTTTTAGATGGTAATTTATTAAGATTGTACATGTTGTGACTTAGTTTTAAATGTTATATTAGTTGTAAGTGTAAGTAGTAATAGTAGTATTTCTCATTATTTATTTATTTTATATGCATATAGTAACAATGAAGGACAGTTAAGTTGTCCTATAGGATGTTGAGAACCACAGAATGGCACCTTCATCATTGGATATCTCAACCATTGTGGCACAAACAACGAATATTTCATTCAATAGAATTAATATTAAAAATATTTCTATCAAGTATAAATTACCTTTAACAAAATGGTATTTTCAGGCTTTTTCATGTTTCCAGCTAGTCATAGGACAAATAGGCTAGTAGTAAATTTAAATATATTTTATTAATCACTAAATAAATTATTTATTCCATAGCTGGAGACATTTATGGTGGCCTATCCAGAACTTTCCTTACAAGGGAAGGGAAGAAGGCCAAGCCCCCCCCCCCCCCCCACAGTTCCCAAAACATATCACTTGCTCTTGATGCTCCACAAGATCAAGGTTGAGGGAAACAAGACATACAAAGATGTGGAGTTGTGGTTTTAAAAACTGTTCCCCCAAAGCAGTTATCAACCCGATAGGTTTGAATGTAGCATCAACTGCTGCATCACTTGTAGGCATCACGTCTTATTAGATTACATTATATTACTCCACTAAATTTTGATTCTGTTTCTCCTGCACTAGATAACTGGCATTTTTTTAAAAATAATATGTTAACTCATGTGATTTTTGAAAATAATGAACACATTCTTCCTGTTAATGTTACCAACACAATAGTTTTAGAGTTATTCTATGTACAAAGCAAAAAAAAAAAAAAAATTGAATTTTTTTTTTTATGAAAATAAAAGTGACCAAAACGCATTTTTGTCATTTTCAATTATTTTTTTTACCTTAGAAGGACTCTTTTTGGATGACTGAAAAAAATTGGGCATATATATTACAAACTTTGCAGTAGCTTTACCAATTTCTACACTTCTATGTTATTTAGTTTAGAAAATATGGGTTCTCAAAAATGGCACTTTTTTAAAATCAGTTTTTTTTACCAAATTTTGCTTTTTTAAAAATCGCATAACTTATTTATTTATTGAGATATTTTTATAAAATTTGCGGCATAGAGCTTACAATTAAAAGTTCTTTCATGACATACTCACTCCAGAAGTCTGCAATCAATAGTTAATTTCAGTTTGGACTACCTAATAAAAGTATTTAAAATTCCAATAAATTAAGGTTTTGTTTCAGTTAGATAGACGAAATTTCATACATAAGTGTATGCTCGTATTCTCTTAATTCTGTCAATTTCTAAATTAGAACTTTATTAAGCTGTCCAAAATAATAACCCATCAAAATTTAATAATTTTATGTGCCTTTTGCTACGAAAAATGAGTACTTTATAAAGGGGTATTTCTCAAAGACCTTTAGAATGTGATAATTTAAAATATTCTCATAAAGCTTCATCTAAGTAATTTCACTTTGTTTTCTCAAACTTCTATGGCCTTGAAAAATCAGCGCCGTTTGTTTGGATAGAGTCATCTCCCTTACTGTTACAAAAGAAAATATGAGAAAGTTTAGGGGAGATCACTCCCACCTTATGCTGGAGTTAGTTTAAAAAACAAAGGCAGATTTATAATTTGTGTTCCTGTTTATTAGGCAATATGAGGGGTGGGTATTTTTAACAAGCAACAGTGAAGCGTACAACAACATACAGCCCAGCGTACAATGACATACAGTCCAGCGTACAATGACATACAGTCCAGACCACGTACAGAAGACCAGCTGTCTACACCAACTGAACATACAACTTACAGTAGACCAACTGTCCTGACCATACAACGTACAGTAGACCAACTGTCCTGACCATACAACGTACAGTAGACCTACTGAACATACAACATACAGCAGACCTACTTTAGTGACCATACAACATACAGTAGACCAACTGTCCTGATCATACAATCATCCATACAATGGACAAGTTTAAATGTCTATAATAACAAAAACATCATGATTGGCTGAATCTGTGTGAACTTGCATATTTGAATATGTAATAGCCTTAACCTCAGTGCCCTGAAAATGTGCATAAATGAAAGATATAATTATCTTGAATTTGACACTTCAAAGAAAAAAATTAAATTGTCATAGCGAATGAAACACAAATTAAAATACGAATAATTAAATTAATCAACAAATACTTGTGTAAAAAATGCAAGACATATTAGTCAAAAGAATCAAGAAATATCTGCTTAGAAGATGTAAGAAGAAAATCAACAATGAAATTCTGTTCACCTGCGGATGTTTAGAGATGTCAAAAGGTTCTCCATATCTGCAATAAGAAAACATTTTTACAGCACTTGATACGGAGGCAGGTTTACAGTAAGGGAGTTAAAATAATTAAATTTAGTGTTTTCACCAGTTTACAGTAAATTTCAGGGAGTTAAAATAATTAAATTTAGTGTTTTCACCAGTTTACAGTAAATTTCAGGGAGTTAAAATAATTAAATTTAGTGTTTTCACCAGTTTACAGTAAATTTCAGGGAGTTAAAATAATTAAATTTAGTGTTTTCACCAAACTCATAATTTAAAAATGTACACAAAATTAGTTTGAGAACTAAAAACTATGTTAGAACATTCTTATGATTTAAAATATTCTTTATGAACTGTGGGAATCCTACAAATGGTTAATTTTTCAAGATGGCCAGCGTTGTCATAGTTCCCCCCCCCCCCCCCCCCCCCCCCATCAGTTTGTTGAAAAGGAAAAATATGCTGATGCACATTAAGATAGATAATAGTTTCCTGTCAAGTATTAAAACACATGGATATTAAATCCCATGTTGACACATAAACTAACCAGAACATTGACCATCCACAAAACTTTGGCAAGATCATATCTCAAACCATGCATGTGGATATCAGAAAAAGATGACCACAAATAGCTATACAAAATTGTGATGCAGTGCAGGAGGGGGGGGGGGGGGTGGACTACATGAAAAGACATTCTGACCCAGACATGCAGACACACAAGAAAATCTGAGACCAACTTACCCAACAGCTTTCAGTTTAAAGTTTACCAGGTCAAACTCTGTGATTTGAATGATCTGAAACAATTTTGAGTTGTTGCATGAAATAAAATCATGAGCTTTCAACACAAACAATGGTGAAATATTTTGTTGCATAAGTTTGAGATTGCTGAGAGTTGGCTGCAAGAGCTAAAGACTAATACAGCATTTGATAATTTGGTGATGTACTTACCCTAGGGAAAAAGAAGGGCTCAGCTGAGAACAAAAACAGAAACTCGTCCAGGTAGTGGTAGAGCAGGGACAAGAGATCCTCACCTGCGGAGATGGTCAGGTGTTTGTAGGACTGGTACAAACGTGTTTGTGGGACTGGTACAAACATGTTTGTAGGACTGGTACAAACATGACTGGTACAAACGTGTTTGTAGGACTGGTACAAACATGTTTATGGGACTGGTACAAACATGTTTGTAGGACTGGTACAAACGTGTTTGTGGGACTGGTACAAACATGCTTGTAGGACTGGTACAAACATGTTTGTGGGACTGGTACAAACATGTTTGTGGGACTGGTACAAACATGTTTGTAGGACTGGTACAAACATGTTTGTAGGACTGGTACAAACATGTTTGTAGGACTGGTACAAACATGTTTGTGGGATCTGTGACATCTAAAATATGTACCTGAACTCAGGAAAATTATTTACCTGTGACCTCTATTTCATGAACCCTCCGCAGCTCCACTGTGCTGTAGTCTGTGGTCATATAGTTGAACATGGCCATACCAACCTACACAAATAGAGTTGAACATGGCCATACCAACCTACACAAATATAGTTGAACACGGCCATACCAACCTACACAAATAGAGTTGAACATGGCCATACCAACCTACACAAATAGAGTTGAACATGGCCATACCAACCTACACAAATATAGTTGAACATTGCCATACCAACCTACACAAATATAGTTGAACACGGCCATACCAACCTACACAAATAGAGTTGAACATGGCCATACCAACCTACACAAATATAGTTGAACATGGCCATACCAACCTACACAAATATAGTTGAACATGGCCATACCAACCTACACAAATATAGTTGAACATGGCCATACCAACCTACACAAATATAGTTGAACATGGCCATACCAACCTACACAAATATAGTTGAACATGGCCATACCAACCTACACAAATAGAGTTGAACACGGCCATACCAACCTACACAAATAGAGTTGAACATGGCCATACCAACCTACACAAATAGAGTTGAACATGGCCATACCAACCTACACAAATAGAGTTGAACATGGCCATACCAACCTACACAAAAACTTTACAGTTGAACATGGCCATACCAACCTACACAAATAGAGTTGAACATGGCCATACCAACCTACACAAATATACTTGAACATGGCCATACCAACCTACACAAAAACATTAGAGTTGAACATGGCCATACCAACCTACACAAACAGACATGCCTACCCGTCAGCCGAAAGTAGGAACAGTTATGCCTAAAAAGAGGAATTTGAAGCCAAAAAGAGGAACATACGCGCGGACGCAACTTTACCAGGTCAGAAATAAAAATAATTAATTAAAAATTACTCTAATGACATTAGTAGGCTTCTAGTCCTATATAACTAGTCTCTAGGATACATTTAAATACTGCTTAATACTGCTTAATGTCAGCTTACATTTAAAAAAATAAATTAACCAATAACCTGAGACCCACCCCCCCCCCCCCCTCCTGAATAAAAATCATAGCTTTGACATAACATTATTGATTTGATTATTTGTGTCTTGCTATGTTCTAGGCTATATGAATAACAAATGCTGAAAGCTTCATCATATGTAAAGTTACGAGCAAAGACCCTTGATCTACCTAGTAAAACTCCTAGTTACCTCTTACTAAGTTCTTCATAATAGTAGTTACTAGTTAAGTTAAACTTACAAGATAGATCAGTATTCACTATTTCAGTATCTACTAGTAGATCTAGTTACAATTCTAGATCTAGTAGTAGTAGATATACTACTAACTAGATCTAGCATTAAGATGATACTAAACTAGGAAACAGAAACATGTGCCAAAGGGAGATAATCGATTTTCCTGACATTTTTTCAATTTACTTTATTACCTTTCTTTATTAAATTTTTTTTTTTCAAAAAAAATCGGAACCAACTGAGTCAATTTCGGGATGACAGAACAAATTACTTTTTTAGGTGAAAAAGCGGGACGGTTCCGATTTTGGCGGGACGGTAGGCAAGTCTGCACAAATATAGTTGAACATGGCCATACCAACCTACACAAATAGAGTTGAAGATGGCCATACCAACCTACACAAAAACATTAGAGTTGAACATTTTATGTTTTTATGTGTGTATGTTTGTGTGTGAGACAGAGAGTTTCAGGTACCCCACACCCCTCCATTAAGACATAAAATCTACCTCACCTGCTCAAAGCTTTCCCTTATATCACAGCCCCCTGTGATTTGCTTAAGGAAAGTCACAAACTTAGATAGGCACAGCAGAGTTAGCTTGACGTAAAATGTTTCTGACAGTTTTTAAATTTAAAAACTGATACAGAAAGTGCTAGAAAATGTTAGTCTTGGCATGGATTAGCCACTGTAAGCATGTCTGATGTCATGTAGCTGATGAAATGACATCTGACATCTAGTCCAAATGTCATGGTCTACACCAACAGTCTGATGTCATACAGCTGATGAAATGACATCTGACATCTAGTATAAATGTCATGGTCTACACCAACAGTCTCATGTCATGTACGATGTCATTTTTACTGTGTACAATACTAAAGGATACAAGCATGGAGTCTGAAATAAAAATGGTAAGGGTTAAAAGAAATTTGACAGTGTCATACAAGCCAAACAAAAACTAAGTCAATGTGTTATATTTTCTTATTTTCTGGGCCCTTTTAAAAGTATATTAATCTTGCTATCTTTCCTTTTAATATTGAATTTGCTTATCTTTGAATTAGATTTATTGATTAATCCAATGTCTAATAAGATTAAAACAATGAGATATTCTTGTATTGTCCTCTAAGACAAAAGTCTCTGGTAAATGAATGCAATTGCCGCATTAGAATGGGTTGAAATTGTTGCATTAGAATGGGTTGAAATTGTTGCATTAGAATGGGTTGAAATTGTTGCATTAGAATGGGTTGAAATTGTTGCATTAGAATGGGTTGAAATTGTTGCATTAGAATGGGTTGAAATTGTTGCATTAGAATGGGTTGAAATTGTTGCATTAGAATGGGTTGAAATTGTTGCATTAGAATGGGTTGAAATTGTTGCATTAGAATGGGTTGAAATTGTTGCATTAGAATGGGTTGAAATTGTTGCATTAGAATGGGTTGAAATTGTTGCATTAGAATGGGTTGAAATTGTTGCATTAGAATGGGTTGAAATTGTTGCATTAGAATGGGTTGAAATTGTTGCATTAGAATGGGTTGAAATTGTTGCATTAGAATGGGTTGAAATTGAGTTACAAGATTTGCCACATCCCACAAATAAACAGAATCTGTGAACTTAATAAAAACAGCTAAAATTATAAAACTGATATGTGACCATACTACCCTCAGTAGTGTAGATTTATTTTAAACTAAAAGGTTTCCATTTTTGTATAACACTACGCATGATTTAAATATAAATAGATGCTTCCATAAAGACTAATGTACAAATGTAGGTTAGAACTTGAGGTACAGTTAAGCCAAGGCTTTAGCAACTTATAAACTTTATGGAAAGCTAGCCAGTGTGTGTAGTAGCAGTAGTAAATCAAACTTGACCCTAAAAACTAAACTACTCCAAGAACTGCTACATGTTCCTGGGTGTAAACTAAACTTAAAAAATACAACAAACCATTTAGTACTCACTAAACTTAAAGAAAAAATACAACAAACCATTTAGTACTCACTAAACTTAAAGAAAAAATACAACAAACCATTTAGTACTCACTAAACTTAAAGAAAAAATACAACAAACCATTTAGTACTCACTAAACTTAAAGAAAAAATACAACAAACCATTTAGTACTCACTAAACTTAAACAAAAAATACAAAAAACCATTTAGTACTCACTAAACTTAAAGAAAAAATACAACAAACCATTTAGTACTCACTAAACTTAAACAAAAAATACAACAAACCATTTAGTACTCACTAAACTTAAAGAAAAAATACAACAAACCATTTAGTACTCACTAAACTTAAAGAAAAAATACAAAAAACCATTTAGTACTCACTAAACTTAAAGAAAAAATACAACAAACCATTTAGTACTCACTAAACTTAAACAAAAAATACAACAAACCATTTAGTACTCACTAAACTTAAACAAAAAATACAACAAACCATTTAGTACTCACTAAACTTAAAGAAAAAATACAAAAAACCATTTAGTACTCACTAAACTTAAACAAAAAATACAACAAACCATTTAGTACTCACTAAACTTAAACAAAAAATACAACAAACCATTTAGTACTCACTAAACTTAAAGAAAAAATACAAAAAACCATTTAGTACTCACTAAACTTAAAGAAAAAATACAACAAACCATTTAGTACTCACTAAACTTAAAGAAAAAATACAACAAACCATTTAGTACTCACTAAACTTAAAGAAAAAATACAACAAACCATTTAGTACTCACTAAACTTAAAGAAAAAATACAACAAACCATTTAGTACTCACTAAACTTAAAGAAAAAATACAACAAACCATTTAGTACTCACTAAACTTAAAGAAAAAATACAACAAACCATTTAGTACTCACTAAACTTAAAGAAAAAATACAAAAAACCATTTAGTACTCACTAAACTTAAAGAAAAAATACAACAAACCATTTAGTACTCACTAAACTTAAAGAAAAAATACAAAAAACCATTTAGTACTCACTAAACTTAAAGAAAAAATACAACAAACCATTTAGTACTCACTAAACTTAAACAAAAAATACAACAAACCATTTAGTACTCACTAAACTTAAACAAAAAATACAACAAACCATTTAGTACTCACTAAACTTAAAGAAAAAATACAACAAACCATTTAGTACTCACTAAACTTAAAGAAAAAATACAACAAACCATTTAGTACTCACTAAACTTAAAGAAAAAATACAAAAAACCATTTAGTACTCACTAAACTTAAAGAAAAAATACAACAAACCATTTAGTACTCACTAAACTTAAAGAAAAAATACAACAAACCATTTAGTACTCACTAAACTTAAAGAAAAAATACAACAAACCATTTAGTACTCACTAAACTTAAACAAAAAATACAACAAACCATTTAGTACTCACTAAACTTAAAGAAAAAATACAACAAACCATTTAGTACTCACTAAACTTAAAGAAAAAATACAACAAACCATTTAGTACTCACTAAACTTAAAGAAAAAATACAAAAAACCATTTAGTACTCACTAAACTTAAAGAAAAAATACAACAAACCATTTAGTACTCACTAAACTTAAAGAAAAAATACAACAAACCATTTAGTACTCACTAAACTTAAACAAAAAATACAACAAACCATTTAGTACTCACTAAACTTAAACAAAAAATACAACAAACCATTTAGTACTCACTAAACTTAAAGAAAAAATACAACAAACCATTTAGTACTCACTAAACTTAAAGAAAAAATACAACAAACCATTTAGTACTCACTAAACTTAAAGAAAAAATACAAAAAACCATTTAGTACTCACTAAACTTAAAGAAAAAATACAACAAACCATTTAGTACTCACTAAACTTAAAGAAAAAATACAACAAACCATTTAGTACTCACTAAACTTAAAGAAAAAATACAAAAAACCATTTAGTACTCACTAAACTTAAACAAAAAATACAACAAACCATTTAGTACTCACTAAACTTAAACAAAAAATACAACAAACCATTTAGTACTCACTAAACTTAAAGAAAAAATACAAAAAACCATTTAGTACTCACTAAACTTAAAGAAAAAATACAAAAAACCATTTAGTACTCACTAAACTTAAACAAAAAATACAACAAACCATTTAGTACTCACTAAACTTAAAGAAAAAATACAAAAAACCATTTAGTACTCACTAAACTTAAAGAAAAAATACAAAAAACCATTTAGTACTCACTAAACTTAAAGAAAAAATACAACAAACCATTTAGTACTCACTAAACTTAAACAAAAAATACAAAAAACCATTTAGTACTCACTAAACTTAAAGAAAAAATACAACAAACCATTTAGTACTCACTAAACTTAAACAAAAAATACAACAAACCATTTAGTACTCACTAAACTTAAAGAAAAAATACAACAAACCATTTAGTACTCACTAAACTTAAAGAAAAAATACAAAAAACCATTTAGTACTCACTAAACTTAAAGAAAAAATACAACAAACCATTTAGTACTCACTAAACTTAAACAAAAAATACAACAAACCATTTAGTACTCACTAAACTTAAACAAAAAATACAACAAACCATTTAGTACTCACTAAACTTAAAGAAAAAATACAAAAAACCATTTAGTACTCACTAAACTTAAACAAAAAATACAACAAACCATTTAGTACTCACTAAACTTAAACAAAAAATACAACAAACCATTTAGTACTCACTAAACTTAAAGAAAAAATACAAAAAACCATTTAGTACTCACTAAACTTAAAGAAAAAATACAACAAACCATTTAGTACTCACTAAACTTAAAGAAAAAATACAACAAACCATTTAGTACTCACTAAACTTAAAGAAAAAATACAACAAACCATTTAGTACTCACTAAACTTAAAGAAAAAATACAACAAACCATTTAGTACTCACTAAACTTAAAGAAAAAATACAACAAACCATTTAGTACTCACTAAACTTAAAGAAAAAATACAACAAACCATTTAGTACTCACTAAACTTAAAGAAAAAATACAAAAAAACATTTAGTACTCACTAAACTCAAAGAAAAAATACAACAAACCATTTAGTACTCACTAAACTTAAAGAAAAAATACAAAAAACAATTTAGTACTCACTAAACTTAAAGAAAAAATACAACAAACCATTTAGTACTCACTAAACTTAAACAAAAAATACAACAAACCATTTAGTACTCACTAAACTTAAAGAAAAAATACAACAAACCATTTAGTACTCACTAAACTTAAAGAAAAAATACAACAAACCATTTAGTACTCACTAAACTTAAAGAAAAAATACAACAAACCATTTAGTACTCACTAAACTTAAAGAAAAAATACAAAAAACCATTTAGTACTCACTAAACTTAAAGAAAAAATACAACAAACCATTTAGTACTCACTAAACTTAAAGAAAAAATACAAAAAACCATTTAGTACTCACTAAACTTAAACAAAAAATACAACAAACCATTTAGTACTCACTAAACTTAAACAAAAAATACAACAAACCATTTAGTACTCACTAAACTTAAAGAAAAAATACAAAAAACCATTTAGTACTCACTAAACTTAAAGAAAAAATACAACAAACCATTTAGTACTCACTAAACTTAAAGAAAAAATACAAAAAACCATTTAGTACTCACTAAACTTAAAGAAAAAATACAACAAACCATTTAGTACTCACTAAACTTAAACAAAAAATACAACAAACCATTTAGTACTCACTAAACTTAAACAAAAAATACAACAAACCATTTAGTACTCACTAAACTTAAAGAAAAAATACAACAAACCATTTAGTACTCACTAAACTTAAAGAAAAAATACAACAAACCATTTAGTACTCACTAAACTTAAAGAAAAAATACAACAAACCATTTAGTACTCACTAAACTTAAAGAAAAAATACAAAAAACCATTTAGTACTCACTAAACTTAAAGAAAAAATACAACAAACCATTTAGTACTCACTAAACTTAAAGAAAAAATACAAAAAACCATTTAGTACTCACTAAACTTAAAGAAAAAATACAAAAAACCATTTAGTACTCACTAAACTTAAAGAAAAAATACAACAAACCATTTAGTACTCACTAAACTTAAAGAAAAAATACAACAAACCATTTAGTACTCACTAAACTTAAAGAAAAAATACAACAAACCATTTAGTACTCACTAAACTTAAAGAAAAAATACAACAAACCATTTAGTACTCACTAAACTTAAAGAAAAAATACAACAAACCATTTAGTACTCACTAAACTTAAAAAATACAACAAACCATTTAGTACTCACTAAACTTAAAGAAAAAATACAACAAACCATTTAGTACTCACTAAACTTAAAGAAAAAATACAACAAACCATTTAGTACTCACTAAACTTAAAGAAAAAATACAACAAACCATTTAGTACTCACTAAACTTAAAGAAAAAATACAACAAACCATTTAGTACTCACTAAACTTAAAGAAAAAATACAACAAACCATTTAGTACTCACTAAACTTAAAGAAAAAATACAACAAACCATTTAGTACTCACTAAACTTAAAGAAAAAATACAACAAACCATTTAGTACTCACTAAACTTAAAAAATACAACAAACCATTTAGTACTCACTGAACATCTGCTGTGTGGTCCAAATCTGGAGGGGGGTGGGGGTATAAATATAAGACATTTAGGTACAGACAAATGTAAGACTTTTTAGTACCAACAAATGTAAGACTTTTCACTGCAGACAAATATAATATAAGACTTTTTGGTGCTTTGTTATAAACAATAATAGAAAAAAACCCTTGGAATTTGAGCCTGGACATTTAAAGATAAACATCAACAGCTTCAGTTGGACAAGCCATGTCAGGGTGTTGCATAACATTTTAAACTTTATTATTTTACATGATGACACTAATTGACGTAAGCAATTTAAAGCTACATTTATTTACCTTTAATTTGGTAACATCAAAATTAATTGGTAGACTAGAAAATGATTTGGGAAAAAAATTATTTTTTTTTAAAAATGGCTATGATGATATGACTGAAACTCAGCGATATGGCGGGTAAGTTTTTAAGAAGTGTTGTTGTGACGTAATTGACTGTTCACTGCCGTTCAGCAGAAATGTGTCGTCTGCTAGGTTTCTTCCCATCCAAATACATGGCGGGCAAAAAGGGCGGGCTTTGTTGGCTGTTGTCTTGATCAAGGTTTTGTTGGTTGATGTAGGCTAGGTTTTGTTGGTTGATGTAGGCTAGGTTTTGTTGGTTGATGTAGGCTAGGTTTTGTTGGTTGATGTAGGCTAGGTTTTGTTGGTTGATGTAGGCTAGGTTTTGTTGGTTGATGTAGGCTAGGTTTTGTTGGTTGATGTAGGCGAGGTTTTTTTGGTTGATGTAGGCTAGGTTTTGTTGGTTGATGTAGGCTAGGTTTTGTTGGTTGATGTAGGCTAGGTTTTGTTGGTTGATGTAGGCTAGGTTTTGTTGGTTGATGTAGGCTAGGTTTTGTTGGTTGATGTAGGCTAGGTTTTGTTGGTTGATGTAGGCTAGGTTTTGTACCAACTCCAATTAGGTCCTACCACAAATTGACATGGGGTTAAGGTAATATCATAAGACAGCTAGTAAGTAATCCTACCAATTTTTTTTTACTTACATTCATACTTTACTTCTGGGAATTCTGGAGCTTCTCCTTCTTCTAAAATTCTTCCTTCATTTTCGTCCTCATCCATTCTGTACTCAGTGGGGATGCTATGTCTTGGTAAAGCTAAACAGCAGGAAAAACAATAAATAACTTATCATTTTCTCATACACAATAACAAGCCTATGTTTTTCATATTCTATGATTTTGGAGATGTAGCCCTTAGCGAATGGCAACATTTACTTAACAATACAATTTTTGTGAAAACATCATTCAATATATAATAGTTTCGCTGTCTGTGTATCTGTGTATCTATCTATCTGACAAGTACGCTATAGAGAAAACACAAGCAAATCAAAAACTTGCATAGTTAAACGAAAACGAAATATGACGTCACATTGGAGCATATAGTAGAAAATAGTATCAGTAATATGACGTCTTTGATTCTCGAGTAAACATTGAATTAAAAAGCCAATTTTGTCTAATCTAAGTGGTTTGTGTGAAGAGTTTCTTTCATACAATTCTTCGGGTTGGGGTAAAGCCCATCCCCCGCGTAAGAACGTCTAAGCCGACCCCCCCCCCCCCCTCAACTCAAAAGAAATGTTGTCATCGATACTCTATAATAAAATTACAGCCTAATTCATGTGTCTAATCTAAAACGTGGTTGGCGTGCAGAGTTTCTTTCATGCAATTCATTGGGTAATGGCTAAGCGCGACACCAGTGTTTCTTTCAGACTTTTTCCTCCCCGGAGGAGGGGAACTTTTTCTAATCTAAAAAGTGTTTATCGTACACAGTTTTTTCCGTGCATCTCTTCCGGTAGGGGCGAAGCCCCGACCAGGTTCTTCCTTTAGTTTGTATGATCTACAAATGCGACCAGTGTTTCTTTCAGACTTTTTCCTCCCCGTAGAGGGATGGGGGTACTTGAAATTTTCGGGGCAGGGGTAGAATTTTCTGGGGGGGAGGGGGGGGGGGGGCGGATACTGGAAAAAGTATATAATTATATTTCGTTGAATGGGACGGTAGACATGTTTTGAGGGGTGTGTGGGGGGGGGGGGGGGGGGCAGAGCCGCCCCCTCCCATGTAGAGTTGCCTGAAAGAAACTCTAACTGCGACTTTTGTCATGAATGAGATTAGGTGCATGGTTTAGGGATATGCCCATGACTATATTTTGTATAAATTAAAGTACCGATTCTGGATAAAAATCAGTTTTCAATGTCATTTTTCATTTCCGGTTAAATTGAATAAAGGTGGTGATTTTGGTTTTAGTTTAGATAAAATAGACAGCACTATCAACCTAGCGCCCATTGTATCCTTCCTCAACGGGCCATTTTTCTCGTTCAATATATAGGCGCATAAACCCTATGTAACTGAAATAATAGTGGAAATTTTACAATGCTAAAGGAACTAGATCTACTAAGACCTAACCCTAACCCTAACTAAGTCTACATCATTAATAATCATTATTGTTAACGTGGATGAAAAAAAAAACAGGTAGATTTTGCAAGCAAAGGCAAAGCAACCATAAAAATAATAAAAATAAAAACTTAAGCCCGAAAATAATTCAGAAACGTAATATTTTTAGAATCAATGTTATAGATAGTCTAGAAGTTGTAAAATGTAGTTATGTAGTAGATCTATATGTTTTTATGTAGTAATGTACTTCATTGTAGATAGCTCTAGAATCTAGATTTCTCTAGATCTAAATCTAGATTCTAGATCTAAAACAGACACACACAGTCGGTACATCACACAGACACACTCAACAAATCATAAAAAAATAACTCGTACTTTCAAAATCACTGTTATTCAGTCTAACTGATTTATCAATGATTAATTAGATTAGACCTAGTATATATTGAATCTAGATCTAGATCTAGATAGATACTGAGAAAGATAGATCTATTAACTTAATTCGAGTTGTGGATAATTGTCAAATTGAGAATAAATTTTCTTCCGATTTACCGAGTCAAAATTTTATTTTACCTCGTAGACTTCTGATGGTAAAGCTAAATTGAAAACACCAGAAAAACAACAAAAACACTTAACGATCCCATCAACGCTTTAAAACACAACATTATAATAGCAAGCATTTACAATGTAAAGCACACAAAAAAAAACAAACATAATTGGCTTTTTGCTGTAATAGCCGTTGGTTGCAAAACTCTGTTTTTGTATTGATACCAATCTAAATGTATCTTTATTTTCTTATAATGAGTGCATTTAAAAAGGGGTTAATAAGGCTTTTATTTTTACTTTCTCGTATATACGTAGTATAGAGAAAGTATTGTAATCGTGCAAAAAAAAATCGAGATTTTTACAAATCTCGACGTTTTACACCTCACTGATACGGAAAAACATAATTTTGCAATCTTGTCCGTATGTCTGTGTGTGTGTGTGTGTCTGTGTGTCTGTGTGTCTGTCCGTGTGTAAACACGATAACTTGAGTACCGTTACAGCTAGGTTGATAAAATTTCATATATAAGTATTTAATCAAAATCGTAGATCCGTATCAACTTTTGAGCGATTTACGATAACCGGAAGTGGTACTTTTCCTACTTTGAATTGTTCAAAAGCCTATATCTTGAGTACTATTTCAGATAGATAAATGAAATTTCATACGTAAGTAAAAGATCTAATTCTCTACCTTCTATTAAATTTTGAGTCATTTCCGTTGACTGGAAGTAGTACTTTACGCTACTTCCGATTTCTCAAAAAACTAATGTAAATTTTAAAAGTAATAATAATATTGCGCACTATTATGCGCTTTTTTATTTGGCGTTCACTTGGTGTGCAATTAATTTGTCTACGAGATTTTATTCTATTTTTAAAACTTTAAGTATTTAAAATGGATTAAAAATCATGTCTATAGCCCGAGTTCCCATCCCCTGTTATTTTATATAAGAATATTCGAGAAAGTTTAGGGGAGATCACTCCCGGTTTATTTACTTTTCAAGTGCATCTTTTCAATTTCATGCATCTTTTAAGCGCTTAATACTAGACTAAGGCTAAATCATGACATTATTTATTTAGTGTCTTTAAGTTTACAACACGGTGTTGAATCGCTGGACTTGTTTGGACTAGTTAGTAGATCGATACTTAAAAGATTTTAAAATGAAAAGAAAACCCAGAAAAAAAAAAAGAAATATTCAGGGTGGGACAGGAGGAAATCAAAAGACATTTCAGATAGCTAACAAACATCACCCAAATGGGCCAAACTGCAGATACATTTTTCAACAACAGAATCAGAGGTCGAAGAGTCTAAAGATATACAAGTACAAAATATACAAGCGACCACATCAGCCCATACGTTGTCAGCTGGAGTTGTCTACATATCCATATCTGTGTTGTCATACACAAGTCACACCGTACGTATTATGTCCATAACTCGAGTTTGGATCATTGTCAACTGTTAAAGATTTTTTTTAAAAAAAGGAAAAAAAAATGGTCGCGATTGCACCCGAGCGAAAAAAGTATCAATGGCCAAAGGTATTCGAGAGGCCCATTAATATTTTAAAAAATCATGTGCTGCGTAGTTAAAATTTATATGGTTATGAAATCTTGTCTATTTGGGTTTTGTTCAGACTTTACTAAAGATTGGATGCTGTAATAGATTGAGATAATTGTATTGGTATTATATTTATATTGTTATCTTGAGTGATGTCCCTTACTTGTGTCTCTCGTCACTTCCGTCTGGCCGGTTAACAATAAAAGCTGTTTACATGTTAAGGGCTTCTGTCTCCGTTGTGTAATTCTTAATCTATCTCATTGGCGACGAAGGATAAACATCTACTAGAAAGAGCACCTACTTACGCAAAAAAGAGGTTTGCTAGAGCTTATTAGCTAATTATTTCTAGAATTATGGCGCTGTATGGCCAAATAAAACAATTTGATGCGAATGATGAAATCATTCAAGATTACCTAGAGAGGTTAAGCTTTTACCTAGAAGCTAACGACGTGACGATAGAAGCCAAAAAGAGAGCTGTTTTGTTAACAGTCATAGGGCCTCAACAATTCAGGCTACTAAAGGACTTATGCGCACCAGCTAGTCCAGATACCAAGAGCTTTAACGAGCTGAGCAAATTGCTGACAGACCACCATGCGCCTACCCCATCAAAGTTTCTATGTAGAGCTAGATTTGACAGTAGGACTCGTCAACCAAACGAGTCAATACCAGAATATGTTGCTGCTTTACGTCATTTAAGTGAATTTTGTGAATTCGGAGAAACGCTGTCTGACAGACTGTGTGAAAAGTTTGTGACAGGTGTAAACAGCCCTGATATTCAAAGAAAGTTGCTGCTCGAGTCAGATCTAAAATTGGAAAAAGCAATACAACTTGCAATGTCCTTCCAGCAGTCATCAGATGCGGCGAGATCTTTAGCACCCTCAGAGATCCATGCAGTAAACAGCAGGTTAGTCAATAAACATCAACCCCATCAGAGCATTCCAACTTATGCTAAACAGCCTGCTCGTTCAAATCCTAGATCTAAATCTAGTAATAATTATCAAAAATGTCATCGATGCAAAGGTCCCCATGCATCTCATCGGTGCAAGTTCAAGTCTGCAACTTGTTATAAGTGCGGTAAGCAAGGTCACATTGCCAAGGCCTGCTTTGCAAAGTCTTCGTCTGTTGCTAAATCTAGCCAGTCAAGACAGCACCGCAACCAAAAGCAGCACTATGTTAACTCTCACCAAGACTACCTAACCCAACCAATGAACCACTCTACCTGTGAAAATGCTCAAATTGATTTGCAGCCGGATTTCAACCTGTTCTCTGTTAAATCAATAAGTCATGCTCCCATCAATGTACAAGTTTATATCAACGGTAAGAGCATCAGCTTCCAACTTGACACTGGAGCATCTCTAACAATTATAACAAAGAAAGATTTTGACGCTGTCACAGAAGGATCAGTGCCTCTACAGCCATGTCACAAGTGTCTAACAACATACACTGGTGACAATGTTCCGGTAATAGGAGAGTGTATGGTTCATGTAAATTATAATGGTCAAAGTGTTAAACTTCCTCTTCTTGTGGTTGAAGGAAATGGACCGCCATTACTAGGTAGGAACTGGTTAAGTGATCTTAAGTTAAATTGGGAGAGTATTTGTTCATTGAAGAATGTAAAAGAATCTAGTCTTACTTCACTAGATAAAGTTATATCTGAAAATAAATGTGTTTTTGGTAATCATGGATTACTAAATGATAGAACAGTGAAGTTAAGCATTAAAGATACAAATCCAAGATACTGCAAAGCTAGAGTTCCACCTTATGCAATGAGGAATAAAATTGAAAATGAGCTAAGTAGATTGGAATCTAATGGCATTATAAAGAAGGTAGACTATTCCGATTGGGCGACACCCATTGTGCCAGTGTTAAAGAAGGATGGTTCTATAAGAATTTGTGGAGATTATAAAACTACACTGAATAAGCAAATAGAGCTAAATAGGTACCCTATACCTAACATTGAGGAAATCTCTTTGAATTTGGCAGGAGGAGACAAATTCACTGAATTAGACTTTAGTCATGCTTACACTCAACTAGAACTGCATCCAGATTCAAAAGTCTATACGACAATAAACACACATAAAGGACTCTACCAATATGAAAGACTATGTTTTGGCATATCATCTAGCCCTGGAATTTTCCAAGCTGTCATGGACAGTATTTTTAAGGACATTCCAAATGTTTGTGTGTACTTTGACAATGTGTACATAACTGGTAAGAATGACACTGAACATCTTAAAACACTAGATAAAGTCTTGAAAATTGTTGGCGAAAAAGGTTTAAAGATAAACAAAGATAAATGTCAATTCATGCTGACAGAAATTAGTTTTCTTGGTTATATATTAAGCAAGCAAGGCATCAGACCTCAACCTGAGAAAACAAAAGCCATTAAAGAAGCACCCAAACCTGAAAATACCCAACAACTAAGAGCTTTTTTGGGCTTAATAAATTACTATGCAAAGTTCATAGGAAATCTGTCTGGTAAATTATCACCACTGTACAAGCTGCTACAGAAAAATGCAACTTGGCACTGGGGTAAACAACAAGATACTGCTTTTAATACAGCAAAAGAGGCTTTGTCTGCTGACACCTTACTAACTCACTATGACCCAGGGAAAAGACTTGTATTGACATGTGATGCTTCACCAGATGGTGTAGGAGCAGTCTTGTCCCACATGGATGAGAAGGGTGACAGACCCATTGCTTTTGCCAGTAGATCTTTGAACCAGGCTGAGAAAAATTATTCTCAGTTAGATAGGGAAGGCTTAGGCATCATTTTTGGTGTTAAGAAATTTCATAAGTTTCTGTTTGGTAGGAAGTTCACCATCTTTACAGATCATAAACCATTGCTAGGTTTATTTGGAGAAAACAAAACCCTACCTGAGCATGCCTCACCAAGAATTCAAAGATGGGCTATCACACTAACTGCATACAATTATGAATTGAAATACAAACCTGGATCTGAGAATAGTGCAGATAGTCTTAGTAGATTACCTTTAAAAAACCAAAGCCTGAGCTATGTACCAGAAGATGTATTTGTTCTCTTCACTATCATGGATAACTCCAATATAAATGTGAATGATATTAAAAGAGAAACACAAAAAGATGAGTGCTTAATAAAAGTATATGAGTACTGTAAGAATGGTTGGCCTGAAGAGTCTGTGAATGATGACTTAAAGCCATATAAAATAAGAAATAAAACCCTTTGTGAAGATAATATAAAAGATGGAGAAGATGCAGTCCATTATCAGTCAGAGTTACCTAAACAAAGTATTTGTAACTTAATAAATGATTATGGTGATATGGCAATTTCAAATGTTTTAAAGAAAATACATTAGTAAGAAGGAATGTGATCATCAAACAACTTTGCTAACATCATTAGCACTTACAGAAACTAAAAGGGTAACATCAAAAGAAAAGAGAAAAAGATTTTTGCCATTTAATAC